TCTGAAGATTGATCTGTTTGCTGTAGTTTTGTCCCACTTGATTGATTTTCTTGAAGTCAGGCACGACTGGTTCTGTGGAGGAGAAAGCAATTCCATGCGCTTGGCACCATGCTTGTCCAGGAAACAAAGGCAAATGGATTTTTTATTTTTATTTTTTTTTCTGAGCAGCTCCATGCACTTGCAGCCTTTTACCTCCAGGCGAAAATGTTCAATGAATTTCATGCTGGGGCTTTCATCCCACTTACTAATGCAGAAAGAGGGCTGCAAGAAAAGCATCTGTCCTGTCACTGAGCAGTCTGCCAGGAGGAACAATTGCCTGTGCTTGTGTTGTTGTGGGCAGATATTTTTAACTGGCTCCACGAGATCTCCAGGCAGGCTAGTTCAGCATTTGCTTACTGTTAGAAAAGTCTTAGTAGCATTCAATCTACACGTTTCTTCCTTCAGTGCAAGCACTTGGCATCTTTTTTAACCACAGTTCAACCCATCTTTCCTCACTGATCATGCTTGGAAGACCAGCAGATATTCCCATGGCACTCGCAATGGCCAGGGGATGCTGGTGGCTGCCCCTCGAGGGTCCTCCCTTCTCTCTTGGTGCAGGGAAGCCCTTGCCTGGCCCTGTGATGGGCTTGTGGTTCTGCTTTGAGTGTCACCGTTTGACTTATGCCCTCATGGCTGCCTGTCACAGCTCTGGGGCCAGGGACAGCTTCAGTGCAGATGCTGCATGGGCTGTGCTGGCTCGGAGCTGTAACAGCTGCCAGAGACTTATCGTGCTGGAGGGAAGAAGGCAAGAGGAAATGGAATAAAAGCCCAAAACCAAGGGCAAAGACAAATTGCCTCCCAAGTTGCTCATTCCAAGCATGCTTGATAACTGCCTTTGCATAACTTGTAAGGCTATATTTGTCTATGAGGCAGAAAGAAAGGGAGAGAAAATAGTTTTCCATTGAGGTCATTCTTGCTCACTTTTTCCTCTAAGAAAACCAATGTGCTCCTTAGCCCTTGCCATTCCCTCACCCACCGTGTTGCAAGCTTGCTTTTCTCTCCTTGCTGAGAGGCAACACAATTGGTTTCCTCGTGATAATGACAGTCAGGGTCTGCAGAGTGCTCAATTTCACAGCCTGGGCAGCCTTGCTGTGCACATCTGCAGTGTAGTAGTGAGATCATGTTATTCCTCCTTTGCTGGCTTTAACAGCTGCTGATACCATCACTCCCACCACACTGGCAGTATTTAACAGCAAAGAGGAAATCTAGAGCTGCCAGGAGGTGGCAGCAAATGAGGGCTGTTTCCATGTTGCTATTAAAGCACAATAAAAAGGGGGAAAAGAGTTACTTTTCCTTAAAGGGGAGATAGGTTTTGAGAAAGGTGCTGTCTCAAATATTTACCTTCAAAGAGGTACCTGAGGTACAGATTACATAGATCTGCAGAACCAGACTCTGGTAGGAAAGACATGCTGAGCCCAGGGGTTACTTGCTACAGCTTCGCTCTGCACTTGAAGGCCCCAGAGCTTGGGAAACCTCGCTGGGTCACAGACTCAGCTTTTCTCATGCAGCAGGTGTTTGGCAGCAAAAGCTGGGTGTCTCACAGCATCCCCTGGCCTGGATGCCCAGGCCAAGGCAACTGCTGGTGACCAGAGGAGATGCCTTTGAGAGCGATAGCCCTCGACTGACTCTTTTCTCGTGAAGATGTCCAGTTGCTTTTCAAAGAGCTGCAAGGGGTTGGCAGCTCTAATACTGATATGTGGAAACGAGCCCTACTACCGACAGTGGGTGCAAAGCAGCACCTCCTTCTGTCTATTTGAACACACCAGTGATTGACCTATTTGCTGTCCTCGGTTCACATGTAACAGAGACGACAAATGGTCTTTCTTGTGTACCTGCTATGTCCTGTCAATTTTTCTTCTCTCTCTTTTAGTCATCTCTTTTCCAGACCAAAAAACCCAATGTATTTAATGATTCCTCAACCAGAAGATGCTCAGAAGCTGATTGTCTTTGGTGCTTTTCTCTGCACATTGTATAACAAGGCACACCTTCAAGAAGCTCCACGTATATTGGTCTCCTGTTTGAAAATATTTGCTTTTGCAGGTTTGGAGAGTACACCAGAGTTCAGGTCTTCAGAACAAGTGTGCTGTTCAATCCTGCCATCTGCAGCCCACGTCTGAAACTGCTGGAAGCTTTGCTGCTGCATAAACAAGCCAGCATTTGGAAACGAGTAAACAACCCTTTCTTTAAATAATCTGCTCAGTTTAGCTTTCTAAGTTTAAACTTCCCAGGGATGAGAACAGGAGAAATAGGTTTTTGAGAGGAATGGATATGCTGTGAATGAGATAAAGTCATTTCCCTAACAACTGAGTAGTTAAAACACACGCCTTAAAAAACAAATTAAGATGACATCAGTCTCAGGGGCGTGTCTGTCTCCCTATCAGTGGTGCAGGGAACTTTGTTTAATCTGAGCAAATATTGCTAAAAAAGTGAAAGAACCTGTTCCTGACCTAAACATTGCTGCTGCTAACTTTCTACCATGACTCTTGAGCCTCAGGCCTTTTTAAAGGCTCTCCAGTTATTCAGTCAGAATTAAATGGGAGTTTTGGAAATCCCACCCTTTAAAAAAAAAAAAATCTATTGACTGCCCTGCTATTGACTATTGCTTTGCTTTTCACTTAGAAAAAGCCAGGCTGGTCCCAAGATTTGCCTGTGCTCTTGCTGAGCTACCTGAGCACAGGTGGTCATCGTTGACCAGCTTTCCATGTTTCCCTGAGCCTGGGTACTGGGAGAAAGAGAGGTACCTCTTTTTGAGAAAAGGTCACCTTCTGACCAAAGGCAGCAGCATAACCTGAGCACTACTGGATTTGAAGATGTCCCTCTGGGCAGAACACAGGCATACCCGCCAACTGCTGTGCAGGCAGTGAGGATCATACTCAGTCTTTCCCCCTTCAGCCAAGCCCAAGGTAATGTGTCCTTTTTGTGGCCTGAGAAGTGTTTTATATATTCCACAGAAACAGATGCAGTTTCTTTCTTCTTTCCCCATGAAAGACGTGGGGAAGCTGCGCCTCTGACTAACTTGTTAGCACAGCCCAAGGTAGAAAGGGAGGTTTAGCTCATACAGAACTGGCCCTGAACCTTCCTGGATTCTCATACCACAGTAGTATAGGTTAATCGGGGTGTGGACATCAAAACTTTAAAGCTTTTACCTTACCTTTACAGCTTTAAAGCTGTAATCCAGGCTGCATGCTGTGGGAACACCCGCCAGATCAGGCACTCTGAAGAGCACGTGAAGCTGTTCAAGGTCAGGCTGGACAAGGCCCTGGGCAACCTGATCTAGAGGGTGGCATCCCTGCCCCTGGCAGGGGGTTGGAACTAACCAGATGTTCTTTAAGGTCCCTTCCAACCCAAGCTATTCTGTGGTTCTAGGTGCACCATCCCCATAAGGTTGGCCTTCACAGCTCAATCATGCAAAGCTGTATGAGATATGAAAGTTTCCCCTCTTTTTCTAACACCGCACTGATCTGGACAGCCTTTGCTTTTAATGTGGGCACTTGCATTTGTGAAACGTAGTTAAGTTTCTTGGTGATTCTGTCAGGAACAGTTGGAAGTGTAAATCAAGTGGAATACCAATTCTTCCAATGCTACAAACAGGCAGCTATGTTCAGCTTGACAGCGGTCACTGCTGCAAACCTGATGAGGATGTAGGTTTGTCACTGAGACCTCTGGTGTGCACAAACCACACTTGCCAGAAAGGTTTTGCCTTTGTGTTGGTGTGATGCAGGTAAAGGCAGCTTCTATCCAGCTGTGTTTGCAGCAGCCACAGGCTGGAAGTCCTCTGTGCACGTGCATCGATGCAGCCCCTTGTGGGAGAAGAGCCACCATCTCCACTGTCTGGGGAGGGGGAGACAAACTCCCTATTACATATTTCAACCTTACACATCAGTGATGTTTCTCACCTGGAATGTCTGTGATCTGCTGCTAGCTTTTTGATAAAAAACATTTTGGTCTGTGGCAAGACTAAGTTATTAGAGCCAAGGATCTTTGTCTCATGACAGGCAGAATTACCTTCAGTACAAATCCATATATCCCAAATGGAGGAAAAGTAATATATTGTCTGCAAAATAAGGTTTTAACAATTGTTTTTTATGCACTAATTTTATTGATTTGTTTCAAAATGACTGAAAGATATCGTAGTAGTCTAATTTTACTAATTTTCCTCTGCCCCACATTTTCTGTGAAATGGTGGATACAGCAGCCCTGCTTGCTAAGACTGCTCTCCAAGCTGCAGAATGAGACATTGCTGAAAAATAACTTTACCTTGTGATGTAGCTGTTGCTCCAGCATGTAATGCCTTACTGCCAGATGAGTGAATCTGTGGCTTGTGTGTGGATACCTTGATGGAAAATTGCGCAGAGGGTCTGGGTGAGGCATGGTATGAATGATATTGCCATGACTACCCTGAATTGCTTTCACCCATCAACATTTGCATCCATCTTTTTGGCATTTACACAAAGAGAGACTTCAGAGATATTTTTATTCAATAGTTGAATGGAATAGATCACTAGATTTGCTTTTATCATCATGATAAAAGTATGGAAGTGGAGTTTGTGTGTGGGCTACTGAGAGGCTACAGTTACTTAGCATATTTAAGTTAAATATTTGAGCAGCAATTTTATCTGAAGAAGCCCTTTTAAAGACTTCAGGACAGAGAAAGAAAATGCAATTCAGATAAAATTGTCTCTTCCCAAACAGTCCTGATGCACACACTGGAAATCAGACAAAAAAAGCCCACTGAACAATGTTCTATGTTTCTAATATGCCTCTTCATTTACATAGCAAGTAAAGTTGAATCCCTACAGCTGAGGAGCATACACAAGATTTCCTTATCTTTTAATAAAGTGTAAAAAAAAAATAAATTGCAAATCTCCTGGTGCTATTTATTAATTACAAATAATTTCTTCAACCTTTTTCTGGCATTTAGAAATGTCACAAAAGCAAATTAAGAATTAATTCAGAAAAACTGTCGTAATTGGTTTTATTACCTAAGCAATAAACAGTCCTTGCAAATAAACGGCCTGACTCTGTTCTTATTTGCAAGGGAGTTAACAGAGCTGCTCCTGGCTTCTGTGAAGCAGGAAAACCAGCCATACTATTTACACAAAGATGAGAGGCGACTACAGTCAGCACTTCCAGCCTGCCTAGGCCATTAGGTACTACCAGCTTCCCCATGGATCTCTTTCTTCTCTCTCCAAAACAATTCCAATTCACCTGAGAAGGGCTATCAGTCCACACATCTGAGTGCCATTGTGCATAAGTGACTATCCATAAGAAAGCCTGACCTCATGCCTTCACAGTTATTGTTTTTTCAAGAGCCCCACGGATGGCTTCTGTATGGGATGGCTTCAAGCTGTCTCACACCAAGGAGCAGAAAAGCCACCTAAAACTAAGGCAAAGAGACTCATTCAGAACACAGACAGCTGGAGACCAGTCTTTAGAAATAATTGAGGGTATTTTTTCCAACAGATTTTTTTCCAACAAAATCCACATGTCATCACATCACTCATGATTTTTTAGGCTCTAACTGATAGAGTTTCAGTTCTCTGAGGGGCCCATGCTGTGACTGCCCAATCACCAGTTGTAAGCAACTGGTAAATTGTTGATGTGAACTGCTTACGAACACCCTAAAGGTATAATTTCATTCAAAACCGTTAAGTGAAAGTTGTGATTAATGATATATTTGCAGAACTTATGATCAGTTTATGAATGATTCATGAAAGGAAGAAAGGAGACTAAATAGACTATGAATATCTTTTTCAGACAGCAATTTAAGCAACTTCATCCCCCAAAACAAGGTGCTTTGAGTCTCATATTTACATAATGACATTGTGTGGTGCAAGGGGCAGGTGTTGTGTTATGAATAACATGTTTCTATACAACATCAATACATCAAAATACAGATTTGTTGTGACAAAGGGAAAGAGTTTTGTCCAAGGCAAGTCTGCAAAAGGCAAACATTTAGGTAAATAACTATGTACAAGCAGAGCTCAGAGGGGAGAAAGCTTCACAGTGATGGGCAGTAAAGCTCAGCTGCTGCTGCAGTTGTGTCTACCAGATGCAATTAGCAGACAAGACAGAGGAGCAGCTGAGCATGAATGATGTCCTGCAGCCAAGGATGAAAGGCACAGAGTTGTCCCTGTCTTGGGTCTGAATCCACCATGCTCTCTCCCCTGGGGCCTGTAATAGGTTATGTATTTCTCCTTTAACTTCTCACTGAAGCTGGCATCCAATGTCAACGACCTTCAGAAATAGGATGTGAGATACCAGAAATTCTGCTTATGTGTTATTATTTATCACAATACCTGACTATAAGAAGACTCATATGGATGCAGTTCCTGAATTCCAATTAAAATCCTGGGGGAAGAGGGGGCATGTTTTTTTTATTTTTCTTCACTCAGTTTTGATCAGGGTTGGTATGACAAGTGAGTGACTTTGCCCAAGGGTGCTCAGTGAGTTCCTGGATTCAACCTCAACACAATGGCAGGAGGCTTCTGGCTCTTCATTGTGCCTTTTTTCTAAGGACTGGGTTTTTGTCCCCGTTTTCTCCTCAGTGCTAACTGTCTGGGACCAGCACTAATGCTTTACCGTTGCAACTGGGAACAGCTGCATTCCAGTGGATTGCCAGAAGCACAGTAGCTGAGGTGGTTTATGGATGAATAAACTGGACAAGTTTTGTAGGAAAAAGCAGAGTCCTTCACTAGAACCAACTAGCAAAGTTGGGAAATTCAGGTAAACTCTCCAGGCCTGACATGAAAGGAATAAACATCAAATGAAACACAAGGTGGGGATTGATGTTCAAAGGTAAATTAAATTACACACTTTGGTTAAAAACATAAAAACAGACTGGCTAAAAATGTTATATCCTTAACCCTCTAGTTGGCTTTAAATTTGCAGGTTCTATGTAAGATATGAAGGAGTAGTTCCATCTCTCAAAAGAAGACAAAAAAGATAAATTCTACTACTTGATCTACTGAACATGTATCACCTTAGGAGGAAAGAGAGGGCAAGTGGCTAACTGAGCCCTTGGTGGTCTGAGCAACTGATAACACCATCAGTAGTTCACTTTATTTCAAAATAAAAAATTGCTTGAAGTCCAATTCCTTTTGTAGCACTCACCTTTGGCAACCTCTCCCCAGCTCTCACCTTTTCTCTACCTCTGAAAACCAACCATAACTCAGGGTGAGCTTTAGCTAAAGCAGCCCACCCGTGTTCACAGTGGCCAACGTAAGGGCACCTACCCCTTTCGTCCCAGTGTGTATAGTACTGAGGAGATTTCTCACCAGCCACATTGAGCTCAGACAAGTCTTCAGATGTACATGACAAGTGTCAGCCACTGGGAAGAGGAAAAGAAAAGGCACATTTAGATAGTAATGATACACCAAATCTTGAGACTTATGTCTTGGTACCTTCAGGCTGGGACCCAGTCACTGTAGTCCTTTTGTCCTGCACAGAACCGTTACTGGGTTTTGGGGCTGTCTTTTTCCATTATTACAATTCAGGTGCAGAAAAACCTTCCATAAGTTACTTTCCACTACAAATTGCAGTAGCTGCAACAGGAGCAATCCCTGCAGGGATGGTGATCTACCTGTGGCCCCCACCTGTGGGTCTGTAGGTACACACAGGGACCACAAACCCTATGGAGGGAAGCATGGACTGTGCACAAACCCAAGCACAATCTCTCAATACACCCTTTTTCCCCCTCTGGGAAGGGGATGGGCAGTGGGGGGTTTGCCACCATCTTCTCCCCAGCATGGCCTGGTGGTGGAGGAACTACAACTCCCAGAGTGCCCTGTGTGGGGCGGGCAGTTGCCATGGAAACCGGGGGGGGGGGGGGCACACGACAAACTGTGCAGGCCACATTTGTGATTTTATTCTTTTTTCCACAATAGTTTTAAATAGGATTCTGTTTTCACCAGCCATTTGATGAGCTGCAGATAGAAGGAGCTGTGCTGAGGGTAGAGCAACGGCAGGCTGCCTGAACAGAAGACGGTAGATAAGCTTTATAAAGAAATAAATAAATAAGCTATATATGTATTTTGAAAGGAAAAGGGAAAGAAAAAAAAATGTAGGGAAAAAATGCACAACCAAAAGGTGAAGCACCGGAGGATTGACACCATCTCCCTAAATCTTCCTGCCACTGTGCATCCCTGCCACAAAGTGCTCCCACCCAGACACCCTTTCCCCCCCACCAAAATCCCCAAGGAGCCAGAAAACTCCCCATTTTCTGCCTGTTCCATGCCACGATGCTGTCTGGTGGTTGCTGTATGAATTTATTCCCAGAAAAGTCCAGCAGTGTGAGACACCCAGCAGTTCTGACCATTCCCACCCCTATCATACTCCACTGGAGTGGGTACTTTTCAGGAGGAAATTGCCAGTTTTCTTCCCTTTTCAGCCCTGCATGATGACATCATTGAAGACACCAATTTTGTTGCTCTCAAGCACAGACAGGTTCTCAGGCTACAGGACAGGACCGTGATGCTCTTACACTGGCCGTTCATTGCACCAAGCATCACCGCAGCTACAAACATAACCCGTGCCTGGGGAATGCTGCAGCTCTAATATTAACCTCCTTGGTAAATATTACAGCCATCACCTGCTGCTCATCAGCGTCCATGTCTCACCGAGCCCTGGTTCCCCATTGCAAGCTGACCCCATGTTACCCACTTTGTTCTGCCAAGATCCTCTGGGCACAGCTGCCACCTTCCTGGCCTTGTCTGCTTGCACTCCACTAGTATCTCACCTTGATGAAGCTCCAGCAGCATTGAGTATTTGGGTGATCAGCAAACCTTGTCCCCAAAATGCACCCTGGGCATGAAGTCAATGCCTCCAACCTCCTCCCTGTGGCCTGGGGGATGCAGGTTTTGTCTTGCCCCAATGCAATGTTTCCACCAGTGACAGGATGGGGGCAGCAAGGGAAGACCAAGTGTTTTGGACATGGATGGCCACCACAGAGCTGTCCTCACATCAGCAAGGCTGCATGACTGTGGCTGGAGAGCCCCAGAGAAATACTTCCTGGCTGTCCATTAAGCACACACAGCCAAGCAAAACCTTTGCCACTGTTGGCGTCAGCAGCAAAACTCATGGCAACATTCGTGGCGCTACCACACCACCTTTAGTTTCATCCTGCTAACATGGTCCCACTGTGGAGCTGGAAAGAAGGAACAAGCAGCCTTACCTCCATTGCCGTCACGAAAAGTTGTGGTCCACCATTTGCTAAGTTTTGAAATGCATCTAGGTATAGAACAAAGAAAATTTTATTTCGTGAGGAGGAAGCAAGAACGCAATGCAGTCTGCAAAATAAGTTCATAGCAGCCGAATAGCAGAGCTGTGGTCCTTGTGCTGGGGTTCTCTGCCTTGCTCAGGGGTCCACGTGCAATGTCTTGCCTACCCAGATACTATTTCTGTGCTGAGTACCCCTCTGCCTTAGCCCTTGCATTACAGCCTGTAAAAACATCCCAACTACAGGTCCAGAATTTGGAAAAAAACATAGAATCATAGAATTATTCAGGTTGTAGATCTCTAAAATCACCTAGTCCAACCTCTAACCTAGAATTAATATAAACCATGCTACTGAGTTTTACGTATACATGTTTCTCGAAGACCTCCAGGGTTGGCACCTCAACCACTTCCCTACACAGCCTATTCCAATGCTGCACAACCCTTTCAGTAAAGAAGTTCCCCCTAATATCCGACTAAAGCCTCCCTGGCACAAATCGAGGCCATTTCCCCTCATGTTACCATTTGCTGCTTGGCAAAGGAGACAAATCCCCACCTTGCTATAGCCTCTAAAGTAATCATACAGTGTGATAAGGTCTCCCCTGAGCCTCCTTTTCTCTAGGCTAAACAACCCCAGTTGCTCCTTGTAAGACTTGTTTTCTACACTTTTCAGCAGCTTCGTTGCCCTTAATGTAGGAACAGGAGTGCTCAGTGCAACTGCTTTCATCTACTCATAATTTGTTTCGATAGGACCTTGTGCCTGAAGAATGACAGGAAAATGGTGAACTAATGAAAAATATCTTCCCACAGGGAGACTTTCTGTTGGTCGTTTTCCATCCTCCCTGGCAGTGAGCAATCACGGTGTGGCCTGAGGAAAGCGATTCTCTTGAAGTCATTATTATGCCTTACAAGCATTTTCCACGGAATATAAATGCAGATGCTGCTGTTATTCATCTGGAATTTGAAATTAACGTTGCTTAAAGTTTTCTGGCAGTACACATTGCCATCAGAAAATTTAAATCTATTCAATATTGATATTCTATGAGCATATTTCTATTTGTTTGTCTAGAAGAAATGTTCAAACCCAATAATTTGGATGAAGTAGAAACAGTATTACAAGTTCCTATTTATTTTGATATTACTTTTCTCTTAGAAATGTGCTGGTGTAAACAGCAAAAACATTTCTCTAGGAGCGTGTTTCCCACCCCAAATAGAAAGGGCATTGTAAGTTCATGAATGTTTCAAAACCTATCCAGCTTTAGACAAATGGAAGGCTGCTGGGAGGGTATAGGAAGAGGGCATAAGGGCCCATTCCTCATCAGCCCCCTAGGACACTCTTTTCCTGGGCTCACAGGCATCCAGAGCTACCTTTATGACCCAGGGCAGAGCGAAGGCATGGCTAACAGAAACACAACCGTTATATACTGTTCTGGAGAAAGAGTATAGAACAAAATAATCACCATGTTGCACCCAAGTCCCTTGACAAGGACGTATTTGCAGGGCTGCTTGCACTCAGTAGTCTTTCTAGGAACAAACTGCAGTGCTGAAGTTACCTTTAAGCAGAATTGCCCCTTTACAACTTCATTACCTCCAGTTAAATAGAGTACGGAAAGAAGCTGCTACATTTGGTTTGAGTCACATCTCTTCACTGGCTATCCTGAAAGGATGAGTAATGGTTTAATGGGACAGGTTTATCTCCATTGCTGCATTCACATCATCATAAAGGTGTACTGTCTTTTATTCAGATTTGTCTCCCTTATCCTCCTCTCCTCTAAAAATCTTACCCACAATGATTTGAAAAATGTATTCCATATTAAACCCTCTGTAAAATGATAACTTAAAGACTTGAGAGCATTTTAGACACTTATTACAGACAGCAATGAAACTTCAGAGATTATTTTCCAAATCAGTCTAAGGAGTTATCTTTATTCTGGCACTTAAAATGTAAGAGGATATTTTTATGATGTTAAAAAAATATGCTATTGTCCTGCTTTAGGTATAAGAATTTTTATCTACAGCAAGTGACATCATAAAAATATGGGTCTTTAAAACTTGCCTGATTTTAATGAAAGTGTTAAAATCAGGATATGTTCTGACTTTCTGAGCTGCTTCTGTACTTTCTTAAAATGGACGTTTAGGCAGCATCACCCAGGCAGATCCGCTGACCACTGGGAGCCCATAAAACATCAGTGGTAAAACATGCACAAAAAATGAATGCTCATTTCCGTGTGCCGCTAAAACCCAGCTCATTCCAAAGATGAGCTAAATTGGTGTCGCTGTGTTTTAGCACATGGGTTACAATTGCTGGATTTATTTAACTATCGGTATTTCTAGTCAAAATGCTTATAATTATAGTAGTAAAAACTATGTTTTTGTAAAAAGAATACCCTTACTTTTAGGCACTTTTGTTTACAAGCACTCCTTCCTTGGCAGACAATAGAGAGACACAACACAGGAAATGGATTTGTTTTCTCACCAATGAAGCAATGAGTATAAAAAACAAAATGTGTCATACAGTAAACCGAAGGGATTGCTGAAATTGTTAAATTGTTGGATCAGCCTCACACAACAAGACTCAGCTCTAGCCATAAAATCAAGGCTGAAGAAGGAACACGGTGCCCAAAGTAGAACTCAAACAATTGACTTAGCTGAGTTTGAAAAAAGTAAAACTGCTGAAGTGGTCAACAATGACAGAGTGCGCAAAATGGGAAAAAGTACAAGGTGAAGAAGACTAAGAGCCTTCATCAGAAAGACCCCAAAGTGTGACCACCAGAGGGTACTGTGCATACGAAAGTAGGAGGAACAATATGATAATTCGTTCTCAGAAACATTAACATAAATCCTGACCTTTCTTGGAAAATTGTATGAATATGTATATCACCGTACCATAAGTAAGTACCATCTCCCACGTACCCAGTGCTGTTAATAAAGAATACTTGCTTCCTAATTCTCCAAAGTGAGTCAATGAGTCTTGGAGTTACATCGCTTTTTGTGTTTCACTGAGAAGGATCTCACACCTTCTCCTTACCAAAAAGCTGAGAGAACTGTACTGAAGTTGGTGGGAACATCTCTCTGGTTTAAAAAAGAAAAAGGCACTTACTCTTCTTGTGGTTTAGACTTCCTGACTTTTAACCAAAACAGAAACCCTTCTATTTGAGATGTGTTGTTTTACTGGGGCTGTACAAGGTACTGTACTGTACAGTACAAGGTAAAACCACCCCAGTTGTGTCATTCCTCCTCACTGGGTAGTGTCCTTTCTATGCTACTGACAATGCCACCCTGGAGAAAGCTCTGCTGCAGAACAGGATGCAGTCAAGCTTGTGTTAAAGGGCACCAGTGCAGGGACATTTTAGAAAATGAGTCTTCTTTAGTGCATGGGAGCTCCAAAATAAGCCTGCAGAGGTCAGGCTAAATGCATGCAGCAAAAAGTATTGTCAGCAGTAGCCCCTGAAGAAGCTCTGAAAATACATTACGTTTGCTGCTGCGCCGGGCAGCATGGTGCTGCAGCAGGCTACAGGTGTTCTGATGGGATCTGATGGGAGCCTGGGGGCCATCCTTTCTTCCTGACCCTTTTTAGTGCACCCATTGCTGTATTCCCAGCCCTTTTCTCCAGCACCACGCTGGTTTCCCCCTTAGGCAGGAGGAGAACCTGGCTTTTGGCAAACAGCCTGCCCAAAGGGATGCCAGGGCCATGCCTGGACTTTTGGCAGTTCATTATTTCCACGCTGATCTGTAGACCTGCATTACTGCGTCCAGCACTTTTCCCCTTGCTTCCTTTCACTGCTCTGTCTGGTTTTGCAGGCTCCCCTGTGATAAAGCTGCCCTGCCCCTTGCCTAATCCCAGGCCCAAGTGCCAAGACTCACAGGTCATGGTTTCAAGGCGCAGCATGCAGCACATGAAGTCAGAGAAGCCAATTCTCCTGGTAACATCACCAAAACGCAGGGACACCAGGTGCAGGATTTGCTCGTTGATGGCCAGACCTGTAGAGCAGAGGGGAATGACAACACTTGGGACTCACTGCAGGATGACAGGCTGGCCCTACTGGTCTTGTGCACCCTTCAAAGAAGCTGTGGCCTCCCCTCAGTCCTCGCATCCTGCCAGATTGGTTCTCCTCTGAGTCCCTGCAAGGCATCTTGCATTCCCCCCGGGCTTGGGAACAAGATTTGGGGTAGAGTGATGGAAAATCAAAGCCCTTCTGGTCACTCACTCAAACTGTGGTGCAGGTCAGCAAGCAAGAAACACAGCTAAATATTCTAGGATTTTCTTACTTTGCAATGTTAGCTTTTATTTTCTGTTAGAAAGGGTGATTTTCTTTGTGCATGACTGTTAAAAGTCTGAGCAAAGCACAATGCCACTGGCATTTTCTGCTAAGCGGGGATATACCATGTGCTTATGCTATTATGCAGTATAGCATACCCAGGATTCTTAATTTTTACATTTTCTCTTATATTAGAAAATGGTAAAGTGTTCATTTCTTTTTTATTAGCTGATTATTCAGTATTTGTGTCACAGTCTATTTGGATGGAAATTGATATTCAATTGAATGAACAAAAATTGCCTTTTAGAATGAGCCTTTTATTAGTTAAATAAAACTACTCTAAATGTGCTGGATACACAAGAAATGATTTAAATATATTTTGGTCTGAAAGCTGATTTACTAAATAAAAGAAATTTTCTGCAGAGGGCTGGACTGATAGCTTCAGTTCATGCATTCTCTGAGACTTCAGAAAAAGTCTCATTTGTTCAGCCCCAGTTTTTAGCAGCTCAGCTGCAAGTGAAGTGGCTCTCCCGCTTTTTCCAACCATTTCTAAACTTTTCAATTTTAATGAACTCATAATGGAGCCAATTTGAGTGAGCAGAAAAGAAGAAAATTATATTCTGCACCTGTGTAGGGGGAGATGCAGCTGATAGAGGTGGGTTAGCACCCAGCATTGACAAAATCTGGTTGCATAAGCATAGCTGGAGAATGCCTCCAGCAGGAATTGAACACACAATGCTGAATATTTAAATAAAGGAAAAACATTTATGCTTCAAATTAAAATAAACTTGATTCTAGATTATTTTTCTATGACGAAAATTTGGTGATTAAAAATATATCATTAATGATTTTTTTTCTTTGTTTTGGTTTTAAACCCTGCCAAGAACCACTGTAGCAGTGAGAAATGAATCCTATCTCTTTTTTAACCCTTTGAAGGCAGTGGGAATACATTCAAACTCTCTCTGGAAAACAGATTCCAGTAAGCGTGGCAGTGTTGCTTGAGAGATGCTCTAACTCCATCTTACAATAGTAAAACACTGACAGTTTGGCATGTTCAGTCTGGGATACACTTGCTCTGAAATGTACTCACCTGGCAATGTCTCTCAATTAACCCCATTAATACTGAAGTGTAAATCCTCTCCGTTTCCAAGATATTTCAGTTATGTGCTATTGCTTTTTCTGTGAGCTTACACCCATACCTTTTCTCTGTTGGATTCCTTGCTCTGGTTTTAGTCAAACTTGAAGACAGTGACTTTATGTTTCCCTATTCTACATTATTTTGACGCATTTAGTATTGCCAGAAAGGTGTCTGTAAATATCCAAGGCCAGTGCTCCTGCACATCAGGGCAGCACTGCTGTTAATGCAGCTAGCCTGCTTTACTCTGGCAGATTTGACCCATCCTATAATGCTCTGAAGCATTAGGATGACAGTGAAAATTAAGCTCATGCTCCAGTTTTTCACTGGGAAGAGCTGGTCACTGAACACTTCAGGGCACAGCTGACTTAGAGCTGTATTTCAGTACATTAGTGCCATTCTCAGACTTTTTCTGGGGCTGCCCACTCCTTCCTGCTTCAAAGGCAGGACCAAGATCATCCTAACGCATAGCCAAATACAAATGCAGCTGCATGGCTGAATAGATAATAAGAATGAGTTTACAACTTTTTTTCCCCTCTCCTCTCAGAACTACTTATAACCTAACATGTAATGAACTTGCCATTTAATAATGCCTTTTTATCCCTTCAGATAGCTGCACTGTTTTGTCTGCCAGGACTTCACAGTTTTACACACTAGTGCCTTTCTAACAGAACTGCCCTGGCAGTTTCTCTTTTGACATTTAGCACATTAGTGCTGCACTCCTTAGTTATACACAAGCACTCTGCCTACCTCTCAGGAACAAAAATTTACACACCCTTTGAGCTGATGGTTTCCACGGATAGTGCTTCTTGCACCAGGTTCCTCACAGGGACACCACCACACCAAGCTCCAGGTACCCAAATGGGAGTTTCTCTACTGTGCAATTACAAGAGTGTTGATGTCTATGAGCTGTATTTCTTGAACAACGTCTCTGGAGAGATGGTCCAGCTAAAACGTTTTCCTTGTGTGAAGGGGTACCATGCACTCACTGCAAGTTTCAGCATTTGTGTAGCCAACAGAGGTCAGTGCAAACTAAATAAATGTTTGTCACTGTGGCTTTCCCTTACAGACTTAGTCACTGCCATGGACAGTAACTGCAGGAACTGGGCTATGTGCATCCTCCTTGCTCCTTTCCCCTGATGTGTATTTTGTCCATGACCTACAGAGACCCTGCAGGCTCTGGCCAATGTTGTGCTTCTTTGCATCTCTCTCTTGGCTCCCCTGCTGCAGTGCAAAGCGTGGATGATGCTGCATGGGTGGGCACAAGGCTGTGCAGCAAGGAAAAGACTAGTCCCTGAAATGAATTTTCTGTCTCAATGCCCTGAAATAATGCAGTCCTCTAAGCAGAGCTGTGATCTAACTGGCACTGCTGTGTAATCCAAACCGCTTTATTCATGAAACTCTTTCATCCTCTCTCTTTTTCATCCTTTCCTGCAAAGACAGGAAAGGCAGCTGCTAAGCCTATCTGGACATACCTGCTGTCTGTATTGCACTCTTCAGTTCATATATGTCAAGAAATCCAGAATTATTTTTGTCTTCCCTCCTGAAGATATCCTGAAAAAACAGTATAATGGCAGATTTCAAATACATTATCACCATTCCCCAAATTTACCAGTACATTTAATTATGTAGGATGCTTTCCTTCCTTAATAAATTTGCTGTAAGGAAATTCAACAGACAAGATAGAGTAACCCTGACAAAGACCCATTACTACAAGTCCTGATCAATATATTACAACATAAGAAATCCCAGGTTTGGGTGTGTTGAAGCCTTTTCACTCACTTTCCCTGGTTTGCATGCACAGGCAGAAACAGGAATGCTTACACCTCCATTGACAAAAAGACATTGTCTATGACACACCAAATCTGCCAGGAGTCCCTGCATGCCAGAATGGCATGGGGTCATCCTTCCCAACAAACCACCCCTGAGGTGCTGTTAGTGGGAAGGGCATTGTTGCTCAATGGGGAACTGGCACCCTATTGTCCTAGGTGACCTCAGACTACCCCGAGAGAGGATGAAACAAAGTACATCCCACCAAACTTTGAGGCTTCAGGAAACCTTCCCTTCCTGCAGCAAAACTGGAGGAAGAAGAACCTCACTCAGACAAGCTGCCTGAATTTAGGTGGGACCCTAAATACCAGGCTATTGTTCTCACTGGTTCCAGAGCTAATGCTTGTCTTGGAGCAGAGACATTTATCTCAAGAAAACTTTCAACACATCCTACACATTTCTGCTACAAACTACAACAAGTGATGTTTTTCAGATGACTTTGTTCAATAATTCATTTCAGCTCAGAAAGCATTAAGAAAAGTTGCCTCCTCAGTGTTCCCTGCTTTATGAAACCCTTGGTTGCTTGTTCAGAACACTTCACACCTCACTGCTTCTTGAGCTCTCAGCCTTTGCATGAGAGGATAGAAATCTGACCCACTAGATATGTAAACCTCACAACATTTTTCCCTGCAGTACTTTAATATCACAGAGTGTCTGCACCCTAGTGATGAAAAACCCAGGAGTACAGTAAGGTAGGAAAGAGAGATCATCTCCCCCCATATACCATGTACTTGGTGAGTTTTTGCCAGAGGCTCCCGAACTCCTGCAGCGTGAGTCGTCCATTCGCATTCGTCTGTGCATTTAGTTAAGAACTGAACAGCTAATGAAAGCTAAAACTGATCATGTCTTCATTCCTGAGAATGCTGTCTTCACATAAAGTCTGAAGATGTAATCATTTCTGTTTGTTACTTTGTGTTGAGAAAGCTGAGATCTCTTTTGGTCTCCATTATTCTAGGAGTTAAGTTCACTTTTTTTTTTCTTTCTTTTTTTTTTTTTTTTTTTTTCTGGCAATTTGTACAGCTGCTCACACCTGTGCTCACAAACAAAATGTTTCTACTTGTATGATGTCTTTAACCACAAGGGGTCCTGCAGTGATAACTTCAGCTGACATTAGCCACAGAGCACAGCAGCTCTTGGGAAGGAACAGAACCGCATGCTCCAGGCCATGTGCGCACACTGAGGTGCCTTTGTGCATGGGGCAGCACAACATCAGCTCTGACTGGATCCTCCTGGAAGAACAGACAAGGAAGGAGCCAAGAGTACAAAGGAGCAGATCCTAGTGCCTGCTCTCAGAAGCCAGCAGCAGCCCTTGAGCCATGCATATGCTGCGGGCAAGAGAACACTTCCCTACCATGAGCAACAGGAGCCCAGGGGTGAAAACTGACTGAAAAAAAAAAAAAGCTGATACTGTCTTTGCAGGCCAGGATAGGTCACGCTGTACCTAGGCTGTATGTACAGAGAATAAAAAATTCATCTTGAATTAAAGCAGAGCAGTGGTTTCATCAGCTCCCTGCACGTGCCATGCATTCACAGTGTTCACTGAACCCAGGAGGGGATTTGGAAAGGGGGAAAAAATCTCTTTTGCTTGCTAGATGCAGAAAGCTAGAAAGAGAGAGGGATTGCAGGTGAGTTTCATTCATTCCCTAGCAGCTTCTAGAAGTCTGACAATATCTCAAAGTAATGCCATGGCATGGAGGAAAAGAGACAGTGAACTAGCAAGTGGGAGAGAACACACAAGGGAGAATTAATGTTTTCATCAAGGAGCCCTCTTGTTTTACAATGGCCAGTAATGTATTTTCAATGTTGTCCTTTTTAACAGTAAAAAGACTGTGATCCATTTAAACAGGGAAGATACACTGGACAGGGTGAATAGCCTGTAAGGCATGGATGTGACTGTGACTGGGCAGTGACATTGCTTCCCCCCACACACACAGGGGCAACACTTCTCTCCCCAGCTTCGCTGTCAATGCTGGCAAGCCATTACAGCTGCCATCACAGTCTCGTGTGGTTTCAGCTGTAAGGGAAGAGAGAGCATAGAGCTGTGTCTAGGCTCTGCACGGCCTCCTCACCTCAGGCCCTGTCTGTGGCCTGCACTGAGGGTGAAGCTTAGAAAAGCCCTAGGTCCCACAGGTTGGGAAGTGAAAGCCAAGAGTTAGCAGCTAGGTGGATGTAGCAGACTTCCCAGAGCTAGGGCATGCATGGCAAAGTCCTGCGTATCCTCCATGAGAGTTATTTATTGAGGAATGAGGCTAATATTTACTTGCAGGTTCTTACACTGGGAGGCTCAGCTCAGCCATAACTCAAGGAAAGGATGGGCTGCACTTGGGAAGTTTATTGCTTCTGCTTGAAAGGATACATCCATCAGAGCTAAAATGCCTCTGCATGAATCAAAGCTGAATTTTCCTCCAAGGCTGGCCATTTCATCTGCAAGGATTGACAAAACAGATGGAATCAGTGAGAGTGAGGGGGGTGCCAGATGTGTATCCAAGCCACCAGTGAGAGGGAAGGAGGACACTAGTCTGAAGGCTCACATAACAAAAAAGGGTGACATAACAGGCTGAGGTCCACTGAAGGAGTTTGAAGTGTCTCAGATGCCTCTACGGCTTCCTTCCTTAAGGACTGGTGCCCCACTGGGGCTCACAGATAGCTGCTCTGCATGGAAACAGAAGACTCTTGGAATAAGGACTATTAAAATGGCAGTGATGTGAAGGGCCATGCTGAACTAGTGAGCTCTAGAGCAGTCTGAGATTTGTGTATGACCATTTCACACTATTTTTGAGGTGGGTAGGTTAGGAAGTGTGGGAAATGCTGAAAGCCATCTTGAGGCCTCTGCAGAGGAGTGACACAGGCCAGGGCAGAGCTGGGAAAAACTGGGGGGGACAGTGAAGAGAGCAAGGGACACAGCTCCTTGTGGTCCTTGCTGAAGCAGCCCAGCTGGGGACTGAGTTCCTGCTAGAACTGGTGGGACATGGAGCAGGTAGGAGGGCTCATGGGGACTGTGGGGACTTCAGGGATCAGAATGGAGCAGCGTAGGTCTGTGGAGCACGGGCTCTTCCTAGGGCAGGGCTGGGAGAGGAGGGTGAAATTCAGGTGTCACACAGATGCATGGCTTTGCTAATGGCCATACATTAAAGAGTCTGCCAGCAGCCAGCCTGGACTGTGTTGCCCTCTTCATGTGACCATTACTTTGATTTTATTTATTTATTTTAATAAAACCACACTGCTGTGCACGTAAAGGAAGATGGGTGTTGACATTTCTCATTCTTCAAGATCCCATATTGTAATAAGCCACACTGAGGATTTTTTGAAGACCATCAGGACATTACTAAATCCTCTGTCTAATTTACACTAGACTAAGGATAGAGAAGTACCAAAGATGTTAGCTGGGTTGTAAAAGCTTTACCTTGCAGGAGCACTTCATTAAGGAGTTGTCGCAGCTGCGAGGCATCAATAGATGAGCCCTAACACAGAATAAAATGCGAAGAGATCTGTGAGTGCAAAGTTTTCTCCTGCCTCACTTTTGCCCCAAATACCTTTTCTCATGCATCATGGCAACCAAGAAGGACCTCTGCTGATAAATGAGCAGCATCCCCCCAGGAGCAGAACAAAGCACTTCTTGTTGCTGGACCATGGTCTGCCTTTCTCTGTGAGCGTGTGCAGGGCAGTTACAGGCCTGCCCACCAGCACGGGGTATTTTCAGTGGTGATGGGAACACTTGCTCACTTCAGCCACATCCTCTTTACCAGCCCCCAAGCTGGGAAGTCACCAAGCGGCAGGACATCAGGCAGCTGGGTGAGTGGGATGCAAAAACAGGCACCACTGCCTACTTCCCTCTGAGCAACCCAACCCAGCAGCAAGCCAGACTGTCTCCCTGTCCGAGACATTGCCAGAGCTTTCAGCATGGCAGCCCTTGTTCATTTTCACCTTAATGCACTGATACAGATATTAACTGCAAGAGGTCCACTGTGCAAAGACTTTTGGCAGTGATTTTTTTTTTCTTCCTCTTGACTAAGTCAAGCATTTTTTTTTATAACGGTTTATTAAGCCATTAAAAGCATCTCTTGTGAATGCACATAGTTTGGCTCAGGAAAAGCAGGAATCAATTACTCAAGCACTCACTGATGTCTGATTTCCAACTGCGGCAAAGGCAAAGGGAAAATGATGCTGATGAGAGGGGGGATACACAAAGCTTTCTAATCACTTTCTGTACATAAACAGATCAAAGCCAAATAAAGTACATATGCAAGCCCATCACCAGCACAACCGTAAATCTCCAGTCCTCCTCTGAAATATAGAGCTAGACATTTTATCCCAACTGAATGTTCCATTTTTCTGGGGGTTTTGGCAGGTAGATCAATACTGTGTCCAGGGGGGTTTCACTTGAAGATGAAGCTACATTTCCAAAAAGCATTTTTCTAAATGGATTGGTATAAACATTGGAGATTAGTGTTCTTTTTGCAAGTCCACATGCCAATTTTAACATTATTATTTTTCAGTAAGATGCTTTAGATAGCGTACCTGTTTAGCATATCTTAGGAAGATAGCCTTATAGGAGCTGTCCTGGTTCTGTCTTGGTACAACCTGGATGAAAGAATAAGTATGCACATAAATAATTCAGTTACAAAACGATTGGAGGCAGCAGTCTGCAAATCCAAATAGAGCTTTAGAGAGGGCAGGGAAAGAACAGCCCAACTGCCTGAGCAGGAGCAGAAAGTGGGGGTACCATAATTTGTCAGTCAAAACACTGGCTAATGACAACAGCCAAGTAAACTGACAGCTTGTCAGTGGAAAAAGATAAGCCGCTATTTATGCTATGCCTCTAATGGGGCTTAATTGCAGGCTGGAAAATGAATCAAAAGGGAAGGACTTTGCACTGCTGTAAGTAACAGCCTGCTCAGTGGCATGGTTTTACAAGCAAACAGTGACACAGCAGCATGGACTGCTCCAGGTCTGGCAACTTGCACAGTTCACAGTAAGGAAAGTCCAGCAGCAGGTAGTAACTAGATTGGACAGGCTGAAATGCAGGTTGAACTAGAGGTACATCTGGTTTTGAAGTGTAATTTCCCTTACATCTGTGAAGATATCTAGGTGAAAATCAGAAGAAATCTGCTTTGGGCCCCACCTCTATGGACTCCTACGCTTTATTGGGTGCAGGCTCTAAATGAAGCCGTTCCCATGGAGAGGCATGTACAACCCATCTCTCAGGTGTGAGTTCTTTTAAAAAGTGGTCGCACTGAGTTGAGAGTTTTAAATTAGTTTTTCCCCATCTCCTTCTTGGATAGATACCCATTTTATAAACAGTGCAAGAACTGGCTACCTTTGAAATGCTTTCCCCCCTGCTATATTTGGTTGCTCAATGTATTAAAGGTGGCAAAGTGGGAAGGACAGTCAGGCCAACAAAGGGACCGTATAAGATTTGTTTCCTTCAGAAATCAGGCTCTGAAAGCAACAAATGAAGAGGAAGAGCTTTGCTGTGACTCTCATCACTCCAGAGAGGTACCTCAGCCTGTACACACTTGCTCTCCCACTTTAACTGAGGTGCCAGAGGGACAGTAACTGGGTGGTGAAAGAAAAGCAGAGTGGTATCCAGTGCATGGGGAAGGGGAGTCAGCAGAGGTGGCTTTCCCTAGGAACCATTCACCACCACTAGTATCTACATCAGTTTTCAGGATTCTTACCGTTGGCAGCATTGGGCTGATCTGGGAGTCTGAGTTCCTGAAAAACAATTAAATGGATCACACTGGGAGAAAATGGGCCTTTCCAGAGCATTGACCTGCAGCCATGGCAGACCCCAGACAGAGAATACAGTGTCCCACACAAGAACCCACAGTGTCCTCTGATCACATGGTGATGATGCTCCCTTCTCCCTTGTACAAGCCTCTCAGTGCTGTGACTGCTACAGAGACCCATGGGAACAGCACAGCCATGCTTTACCTCACTGAATAAGCTGTATAAGGGTCACAAGCTCTCCTGGAAAGAGATATATCCAAGGACTGAGCCATCTTGTGCATGAATCATCACACTGAAGGCAGTCTAGCCCAGAGCACAGACTTCTCACATTTGTTTTCCACAACTAAGGAGTTGCCTTAATTTCTTCTGAGCCATTTTAGCCAGAGGCCAAAGCCTAGAAAACATTCTCATTATTAAGATATGGGCCTGTGACGTAAGACTGGCAATCACTACAAAGCTTACTAAGGGAAAGGCAGTGATATCTGATGCTCGAAGGTTATTTGGTAACACTGAGCGCTGGGGTTTGCTCTTTAAATAATGCACACCCAGATATTTATATGCAAATGTGACACTAGCTGCCTTTGCATGAGCTAGGATATCATTTTTCTGTTAAGTTTATCCTTCAACACCTCTCTTATACCCACAGGGAGCTCCTGTGGGCCTGCCTATTGGCTGGCTGCGTGAAGGGGTCAAAACCTCTAACTGCTCTTTGCTTCTTTGCCACTGAGCAGAGTGGGACATGACCTATCCAGGGTCCAGCCGGCACAACATACAAAACTATATAATGGCTGTTAAGAAAATGAAGCTCCCAGTCCTCCTTTTATTTAAGAGAGATTTCCCCACGAGCTGGCAGAGCGTATATCAGAACTGCTGTTCATTTGTGCAGCTCTTTGTACCAAAGCTGAGACCTTCGATGGCTGCCAATGAGCTATTGCCCTGTTGTGCAGTGGCCACCTGTGCATCTGACTGTATACAGCTGATTCCCCTCAACATGGCACTTAACACAAAGCTGTGGCTTCCCAACATGCTTCTAGAGTGCATTAAAAACAAATTGCCACATTAGTTATCTTGACATTGAATTGTTAGATCATGGCACACTGTAAGTCTGGGGCTGTTTGGAGTACTCATCATTATCTTACTCATTGTAGCATTCATTCTTCAAGAAAATTCGTAAGACGAATTCAAAATCTTGGCGCGCTGTTGTAGCAGGAATGACAGCATAGGTTCCTGGACTCAAAGTAAAGTAGTTGGTGACATCTCGAGTAAGAGAAAAATCTTGTTTCAGAACTTTGGAGTTCTCCTGAAAGAAAAACACAGGTGGCTATCTCACTCTCCCTCTCAGGAATCAAAGTAAATCAGTAACTGGACTCGCAGCAGCCTTATTTACCCACTACTTTCTAAATCTACACAGCATCTAACATGCCTTAACCTTCCCAGTGGCATGCAAATTTTGACTAGGAGACAAACTTTGTCCAAGAACACACCACTAACACAAGAGGGTGGAGGGAAGGAAGGGAAGGAAAGGAAGGAGCAATATGTTTAAGTGGATTTCATAAGAAATTCTATTAACATCAAGCAGACTAGAATTCGTCAAGGAAACAAGGATAATTACTCTTACTAAAACTTCCCTGAGATAGCTGGTATGATTCCCTGATATGCTTCCCTAACATATCCCAGAGTCATCAGAGAGCTCAGTAAGCATCTCACCCAGATTACAGTGCTTCAAGAATCACAACTCAAACCTTCCAGCAAGTGTCACGAGAAAACAGAACATTCTGATCTTTCTTCTGTCATTCCAGTATTTTTGCTGAGATGAAACTAATATAATGCAACAGCTATTACTATTAGGACATGTAAAGATAGCGTAATAAAAAAACACTTACTAAACATATTCCCCAAAATACATCAGCGTGTATAAATTCTATTTAGAATGGTTATAAAGCATGGCAGAGTTATTTATGAGCCATGCCTTTGGGAGAAAATAACATAAAACTGCTATTCTGGGAGAAAAGAAAAAAAAAAAAAGAAAAAAAAAAAAAAGATGACTGTTACAGAGGACTAGGAGGCATGTAGACTGCCAAGCCTTATGGGCCAGATTTTGAGTAGATGGAAATGGTCAGTGCTGCAAAGAAATAAATGACATAATCTTTTTTACTTTTGGGCCTCATTTGACGTTTCTTCTGGTAAAAAAGCAGAAGCAGGTTAATATCTCAAAGGAGTCAAAACTGGTGTGAGATAAGAATCAGCCTCTATAGGTTGCTCAGCTCTGTCACGCAACATTAAGCCTACCTCACAGCTATGTATTAGTGCTCCATGTCTATACTTAATCAAAGGATTCCTAGAGCTATCAGATATGTCCATTCGGGTTCACATCCTTGCCTGTACTGCATTCCCCTCATCCTGCCAATGGATGATGCACTTTTTACTTTACAGCAACAATATGATGAGTCTCAAATAAATACTGAGCAATGAACGATGATGCTGATGAGTGCCAGCTATGAAAGCAGTTGAAGCAGGAAAAGTGAGGTCTCGTGAATCTTAGCAATTGCACTCCCCTTCTTCAAACAACCCCCTCATAAACTTTCACTGACCAGCTGCTCCAAAACAATGCCGGTGTCCCTGGTAATCACCTGGCCTGGCCTCACCTTCCAGCTCCTGCATGGGAGATGACCTTGGACCACAAGCCCAACCTGTGCACGAGGTGAGCCATGGGCTGACACCCCATAGAGGTCATGTCACCCAGCCTCGACACACTCATCAAATTTCATCTGACCTTGGGAATGCGCCAAGAAAAAAAAATGAAATGAACATACTTGAGCATCAATTAGAGGTGGGAAAAAAAAATAAAATAAAATAAAAAACAAGTTTTAACACAAGGCAAGAACCAAATCTGTCTCCTGGTCTACTTCCTGATTAAACAAAACCCCCTTTCCAAGGGACCCCAGAACTGTGCCGTGACTACTCAGTGAGAATCCTTTCTGTCAAAATGGGTGACTAATCAAGATGGCATGCACCATACTAGAGCAGTCAGGGGCCTCCATGTCTGGTGACTGCTGGGGCAGCTGATGAGGATGCTGGAAGGAGCAAGTTCCCCACGTACTAGGAGCAGCTGCTCTTTTTGAGCACCACAGCATCCTGCAGGGCTGATATCTGCACCAGAGGATCTTCTTGAGTAAGGATAATGAGTTCCACTCCCTGAAGGAATGGTCATTTTATTACATTTTGTATTTCTCATCAGATATAAGATACTGTTTTTATGAGCTACAAAGCCATTCTCTTCCTTCCTCTGAGGAACTGTTAAACTTACGGCATCAATTATTCAAAGTCTGAGACTAAGGCAAAACTCTCCAGTGATCAGGAGAATTGTGAAGTTAGGGCGAATGTGAAGTTAGGATCAAAGAAATCTTTGCTTCCTTTTATTCTTCGGGTTAAGAATAATTCCTTCCAATCTCCCTACGACAAGAACAAAAACACTTTGGAAAACTGCTAGCAGCCATCTCTACCAGCAACTGCACTTTCAGTAAGCTTGGTAATACTCTGACAGTAATTGTCCTTGAACTGGCACATGCCCAGGCAGTCACCAAGAAAAAAAAGGGGGGAAATTTTAGTTGGAGGTCCCATTTATCTGACTAGATTGGCTCTGTATTGGTCTTGCACAAAGCTTTCCCAAGTGTTTTGCAAATGTTTTTTGCACTGCATTTCTGTGATGCCCATTCAGGGGGAACAAGAGCCCGTTCTCTTTTTTGCTTGACTTGGAGCACTGGGGTTTGTGCTGGCTGCCAGGCATTTTGCTGGACTAGCAAGGCTGGACACAGAGGTCACTGCCCTAGCATCTTGTGTAACCTGTGGATCCTCTGAGTTTCCCAGGGGTATTTTAGGATGCAACAAAACTGAAAATTCAGATTTTCTTCTCAAGATATGAATAAAGGAAACTAAGCCTGCTTAGCCCTACTTTTCCTATGTCTTCCTAATAAAGAAAACATCCAGAAATTCACTCCAATACTGACTGCTCTCCTTTAACAGCCCAAAAGGCAATTCAGTCTTTTGTTTACATGTACAGATACAATAACCCACACAGAAAACAGCATCTGTATTATACCTGATTGTGCTTACCTTTGTGATTGAAAAGCCAATCCTCGATGTCTGTGCATCCTGCATACCCTCAGCATGTTTTTGCATGAGTGAAATGACCACATTATAGCTTTGGGGAGCATTACTTGTCACTTCGAAGAAATACTTAGGGTTCTTCGAAACTGCACCTGCTGAGGAAGCGTTATTATATTAGTAGTAACCACACAGATATCCCAGTAGTAGCCTGTTGTGTTAGATCTTGTTTATACACACCCAGAAGAAGAGGTAGCTGCTCCAAGATGCTTTTGATGCGACAGAGCACGACACTCTCTATATTATCAGTAGGAGCTAAGGCATCTGGAGTTAAACTAATTGCCCATTAATCATTTTAGAAATCTCTGGCAAAGTGATAAATGCCAGGCAGATTTCTCACCCACATACCTGTTTCACCTACAGGGTACACTTTCCTCAAGGCAGGAAAAAAGTGATTTTTTAATCACCTGGCTGAACCAGTGGCTGAGCTGAAAAGTACCCTGTCTTGGAGCTCATAAGCACATAAAAGAAAAAGACAAAATGATCCAAAACTATCCTCCCTTTCCTTCCTGCCAGTGTTTATGATGGAGAAGACAGAGGGACGAGGACCAGAATAAAAAGACTTCTTCTTGGCCAAGGTTTAGATTAACAAGAAGCGTCCCTGACAAGAAGAGAAATGTACAAACTGCAGGAAAAGGACTGAGCTGTGCACAACATCTGCTTAAATTGGTCTAGACTTTAAGCTGTGTTTGGTGGCCTTGAAAGCTACATTTTAGCCCAAAATTGTACTTGGACAGTAACTCTAGTAGAGGGCCAGTGGCAAAACAGCTCCAAGGAAATTTGTTCTGCCCACATGTTCTCAAGTTCAGGCCCTGCGCCTCCTCATTCAGTTCCAGTGCCTCTGGCATGCTGCAGCACAGGCCATGATTCATAACCACCACTTGGCAGTGGAAGTGAAGATGAGGAGAAGGAGGCAGAAACCTGTAAGACAAAACCTGTTTGCTGCTAAGTCAGGGATCAGCACTGCAGAAAAAAAAAAAAGAAAAAGAAAAAAAAAGTAGCTCCATCACAGACCATGTGCTACCATTTTAGAGACAGAGCCCAAATGTGATGCAGCAGAAAAAAATAATATAACAAAAAATACTAGTAATAGTTAGAGCTTCCAGTGCCAGAGGAGTACTTGGAGAAGCAGTTTAAACTAGAATTAGAATACTTCCCTTGGAAGGGACCTACAAAGATCATCTAGTCTAACTGCCTAACCACTTCAAGTCAAAAATATGTTTTAACCAAAAGTTAAAGTAGGGCATGGAGGACATTATCCAAATGCCTCTTGAAAACTGAAAGGGGCATCAACCACCTCACTAGGATGTGTGTCCCACTGTTTGAGCAATCTCCTAGTACAGAAATTTTTCATTATATCCACCTGAACCTTCCCTGGCATAGCTTTGTGCTGTTCCCACGCATCCTGTTAGCAGGGAGAAGAGATTCGTGTTTCTATCTCCATTTCCCTTCCTCAGGAAGTTGGAGAGAGGTTTCCTCTTAGCCTCCTTTTCTGCAAACTAGATAACCCAAATGTCCTCAGCCTCTCCTCCCAGGACACATGAAAGGCAATACAACTCTTTTATCAGCTTCGTTGCTCTCCTCTGGACACTTACAAGGTTCTTAACAGCCTTTTTATATTGTGGAGCCCAGAGCTGTGCACAATATTGAAGATCAGGCTGCACCATTGCTCACCTCTTTTGACTGGTTCGCTATGCTGTGTTTAATGCACCCCAATAAAATAAATGAGGTCTTTTCTGGTCAATGGACTTCCTACCTTTGAAAACAGAGTTTTCTAGCACAATTCTTTCATTTCTTATTCATTCAATTTCAGAGTATTTCTTGTTCTGGGAAACCAGCCACATCTTTACCATAGCAGACTTTCTGGTGAGATCCCCGTAGCACCTGCTGAAACTACCTGAAAGAATACTGATGTATGTTTTGATTTAAGGAGTTTAGGGTCTCTAAATCACAAGCCCTCTGTTTTTAACTCAGCAGCAAGTGCTGCTGCTTTATTTCTGTCTCTCTAGCTGATAGGTGGTGTAATGGGAAAGAGCAGGCCTTAATAACTGGCAATCAATATCTCTGCTATTTGATTCTCATTGAACGTTTCAGTGTAATCACCAGCGCAGAGGAGGAGAGGACTGGGTGATTGCAGTAAACATTTATTACCGAGGGAAGAGTTGTTCCTGCCTGTGGAGAGTGAATTACTCCACAGGTCGATGTGCCTGTCCACGGACCATGTCATGCCACACTGATCTCCAAAGTCCAGAAACGTTGGGGTGCTGTTACATATACACAGCCAGGAAAACTGCTCACAAAAGTCTTCACAGGACATCCTGCAAAGACAGAGAAAGCCTTGTTTTTCAGTCTGAGACACCAGTGAGGTATTCATTTTCACCCCCCATGTCTCCAAGTAGGGTTAGAGCAGTGCTGCACAGCGTAGCCGAGTGGGCTGACACCATGCAGAAGAGGTCAGCCCTTGGTGCTTTTGGACAGCCCTAACTATGCCTAAACCCCCACTGAAATTACATGATATGTTTAGCAGTGCCTAGGTGGAGTCCTACTGTCTCGAGCACAACTCTGCTATGGTGCCTTGCTCTGTCCCTCTGTGACATCCTGTCCTGCCTTCACTAAAGCCTGACGAGTCCATCTCAGCCCAGCCTGCTGTTCCCCTGCATTCCCCAGAGCCTCACATGGTAAGTGTGGACTTTCTGAAGAATAATAGGCCTTCTAAAGGATGTCTAACCCATGGTTAAGCGGGACTTCAGAGTATTCAGAGGCTGTGAAAAGCCACAGGCACCTGCAGAGCAGTCAAGTGCATAAGCTCCAGCCACCTATTCCTCTGAGCAGCTGAAGTTCAAGCTGGTCTCTTTAGGGGGAAGGAAAATGTGACAAAGGGACTAGGTCTCAGTGAGCTGTATTTTCACTTCATTTATTTCACTTTTTTCACCAGTTTGTTGCATCATATTGGCCAGTTTCATTTCTCCAAGTCTCATTTCTTCTGAGACCATTGGATCCGGACAACCTCCAATTTGCTGTTTGCACGCAATTAACACGGAGGCACTTTGAGCCATCAATAAAAGCAGAGAAAAAAATGCCTAAATGATCTTTCTTTCATAATGAATGCAAATAGAAAACCTGGTAGACAGAAGAATTGATAGGGAAATACCAGAATTCTCCATCATCTTTTTTTATGCAGAGGTCTTCCTTGATTTGAGGCTCAACATAGTTCCACTCTGGAGAGCTGTGAACAGGAACAAATCAACAAAGTGTTGTGAGAGGCACGAGTTTCCATCCCTCCAGCCAGCCCATTCCTCTACCCAGCCTATCAATTTGAGAGGGATCAAGAGAGGTAAGCAAACTGCACATTGGGAACAGGACTGTGCTCAACAATTTCATAGCCAAGGCCAGCAAACGAGGCACTGCACCTTTGCTGTGCCTGGCCCTTAGTAACCCGTCCTAGGATGGGGAATCTTACCTCTGCCCTCAGAGCACTTGTCACCTGTCCCCACACTGAAGAGGTTAGTGAGGTACCAAGGCTTAATGTTCCTAAGTGCTGGTATTACATCAACGTGCAGAGGGCACATTAGCCAATTAACTATGTTGTTTCCTAGCAGCATGTTTATAATTAAGTGATAATTGTACTTTCTGCTGAATGTAAGACAAATAAACAGAGCATGAATAAATAATTTGACCCATGCAGCTTACCTATGAATGTACTCCACTGACTTCTCAACTTACAGTTAGGATTATAGTAAGCTTTCAAAAACAGGAAGATGCTGTCTATTATCCTAGCCGTGGACATGTCTGTGCCACCCGTCAGCCCATCCAGACACTACACTTTAGCCTGAACTTTCTCAGTAGAAAAGTTATGAGTGGTCCTAGCAACAAGGAGAGGTGTGATGCTATTAAATCACCTACGAAGTAATACCTGTACATCTCTCTAGTCAGAAGAACACTGACAGCTCCACCAGCCAAACTAGCATTTATTTATTTACAGAAAATTGTTGCAAGTCTTCCTCTGGGGAGAGAAGTAAGCTTGCACACATGGCAGGAAAGTGCTCCTTACATGTCTAAAGCTGCACGCAGGATCCAAAAGATCAGCTCAAGCCAACCAGTGGCACTTCGCCTTTGCAATAACCAAAGACCCTTTTTGTCTGTCTATGTTTAATACCACTTAACAATGCTGCCCTATTCTCATGGACTCTGCTAACCATCCTCCTCCCAGAGCTGGACTCATGGGAGAGGCAGGAAGACAGATGTGTGGTGCAGGAGGATTCATCAGAAGCAGCCAGACAGTATCTAGGGGGCATGGTCAGACCTTACTCCAGGTAGTAATAAGTCTCTCATCCATGACCTATCTGGAATTACCCACTGGGAAACATGTACTCACAGACAAAAAGGGATACCTGAGCTAGGCCTAGCAACAAGTATGCATAACACAAATACTGCATTAGTTTTCTCTCAATTGGATTTCTGTGAGCAGTGGCTTTGCAGCTGGAAATAGAGCTTATAATTATTGATTTGGAACTGCCTGTTTCATTATTATGGGTGTGAGGCAGATGTCCTTTGTAATAAGCCTATACAAGAGTGATTTGTCTCAGGAGATGAAAGCTTTAAGGCCATACTTGTCACTCCAGGGCCCCTTCCACTCCCCACGTCCCCATGGATTCCAGATTCTGATGATGTGTTCCCAGCCATTCTTGTAGCGTATCTGTAAAGAGGAAAGAAAAACAAACTCAGTCACAATTTTTCACTATCACGATTTTCAGTGAAGTGATAGGTAATCAAATACATCTTCTATAATTTGGGGGCCTGGATTAACTGCAGCTAAAAGTCGGTGTCTTTTGCTGCTTGTAGAGGAATGATGCGTGGAAAGTCCTTGGTTTCCGAAGGACAGTGAATAGCAGTGGGCTGACACAGACAGAAGTGGCAGCATTCCTGCAACACTGCATGAATGCAATACCTCTAATATCTAGTTCTGCACATCTGAGGCTGCTGCCTAGCAAAGGCAGAGACTTTGGGGAGGTAGACCACCAGACTGCCTGGAGCAAATGTTGACAATCAATATGGACAGATGATAATAAAGAGAATCTGTGTCTCTGCATCTACAGTATTGCAGTTTCCAACAGCTGGAGATTCTGGCGCTTTTCTCCTCTTGTTGTCAGTGGTTTAAGCCAGAAACAACTCACAGTGAAACTGAAGTGGCAAAAGTGGAGAGAAGCACACAGAAGTGGGAGAAGCACACCTTTTGTTTTTGCCCACCCTTAAGCACACAGGCAGTATTGGAAACAGATGTCATAGCAACTCTCTTCCAGATGCAAATGTTCAACTTCCAGGTCAGCCTCTAAACATTTTCGTGCAGGACACTCCACTGGACACCTTGGCACTCCTATAAGGTGGGGCAAAGACTGTTTCTCCTTTCTGCACAGATCATGAGTAGCAGGAACCTAAAACAGCCTGCTCCTTTCTCCAGCGGGATTTGGGATCCTTCCACCCCCTGATTTGGGGTGAGCTAAGAACCTTCTAATTAGGAAAAATTATACAGTCCTGATATCCTCACTCTTCCCATTGTGCCAGAAACCCTCCATCTCCTGAAATATGAACTACATACTGTTAGAAATCTCTCCTAAAGGGAGGGATTAATGACCCTGAATGGAACAGCAGTGGGACTGCATTCCACATCCCAGTGGTGGACCACCAGTATGAGACCACCAGGCAGGAACAAGTTTGCAATCTTACCTTCACTGCTCCTGTGACAGTGTAGGCATGACCCTGTACAATTCCATTCCTCAGTTCTGTGTTCCTCATCTGCAAAAGGGTGAAAATACAGTTATTAGCTCTCTGCCACACTCCCAGAACTCACATTTGGCAGTGGCAGAAAAAGAGATTTGGTTTTGACTACAGCAGTATCTCAGATGTACTGGCTCCAGAGAAAAGTGACTGTTCCCACTGTACCTATAAGCAATCCAGTAAATTTAGCAGAAGTACAAGTCTTCCCACATTTGCAAATTCTTTAATCCTAAGAGATAGTGCAACTGCAAGATGAGCTGAACTGGGCTTCTGGGAAAATTAGGGATCCAAAATTTCACTGCCACCTACAGCCCAGGATCAGCCACCTGACTTGAGGAGCTAGTCCTTCACTAGTTTGCAATAGGCAATCTTTCTGTCCTGATAAACCAGTCCATACAGAAGCAATGGTACATGCTTTGCAGTCTTCCCTGACATGCTGTATAACCCCGTGACACTCTCTAGTGAGATACTTACTGAATATTATGAAGTCTTTTGCAACTTCTCAGAATTAATATCAGTACCCTGCAAATCAGTGTGATAACAGCATACTCTCACAGAAGACAGGCACATTTTGGCCTTGCTAGACTCAATCACAAAGCTTTGAGGCCCAAATCAGCCCTGCTGCAAGAGGACATTACTATATCACAGTGGATTTAACCAGGAGAGAAGCCACACAGCCCAGAGAGGGCTGTGTGATTAATCTTATCAAGGCCAAAATAGGAGGAAGGCCCTTCAGAGAGGGCTATGTGGCTTTCCTCCATCCACATCTCTCATCCACATTCAATCTATCTAGCCAGAAGCCTTTACATTTGATACTGCATAACCATATCTACTTCCTGTTACCAATATCCAGGCATCCGTGAGCTGTCACTATTGCTCAGAGTGACTGGGGACTTCCTTCTTCACTCAAAAGAGTACCCTTAATGCAAACATAGTAAACCAAGAAAGGTGTGCTCCTGGCCTTGCGACTCACCTGTCCTGAGGTGCTACACCCCATCATACACCGAGATTTGCCAGCAGCTTTCAGTATCTCCTCCAGATCAGGAGGGGGTTTCTTTAATGAAAACTGAAGTTGGACTCCACCTGTGAAGTCCACTAAAGCATCAGAAATGTAGCCTCCGTGCAAGTTCTGGTAGGAGCCCCGCAATCTGAAAACAAAAAAGTTAGCGGTCCTTACACCATGTTTTAATAAACAACTCACAGTGACGGCTTCCAAAACGGACATGTGCATTGGTGCAGTGATCGTGGTGGAGACAGAGACATTAGGGTCAGGTAATGAATGGAGACATTGAGGCCAGGGAATTAAAGGAAGCATGACTGAAATAGATGCCCAGACAAAACACATGCCCTGTAGGATGAATGAGGCAGAGGGACTTCTTCCTATGCATTCACCCACATCTGAAGCAGCTGTCTAGAGTCATTACGGGTAGTGGGAAATAATAAGGTGCAGTCTCATGCTGATAGAGGCATTTTAGGGAGATGAGCTGAATCTCATCCTGAAGTATCCTGTTTCTCTCTTCTAAACTAGAAAAGAGCCAAGCACGACTAGTTTATATCGATGTTTCAGCTAAGTGGAGGTGAACTGTTAGTTTCTACATAATGCTTTGTCATGGCTCTTTGCAAAACTGACCAGTATTCCATTTGCATGGTATTAGCATATATTAAAAATGCAAGATAGAAAAAAAGTTTTCAGTGCTGTTCCCAAATCATTCTGCTAGAGTGCAATAATAGGGCAATAATTAAATATTGCCAACAGAGTCTTTGTGTTTTTATCATGTGCTTTTTATTGAGATAACAAATAAGATGAAACATGCTGTACTTTGAGCAAGTAGATCATGCTGTTAAACCCCACTATGCACACTGTATTTAATGCACGTAATCAAATTAAGTCTGTGGCTAATTGTATTTTGAAGAGTTGTCCTTGTCCTACATGGATGGAAATAATTTGTCATGGGCACTAGGGAAAAGTAGGAATCTCATAAACGGCATTTCTTGCAAATTTGATTTAATAGAGGTTTGTTTTGTTTTGTAATTAAAATCTTATGCAGTAAACTGATGCTGAGTCCCAAGTCAACTTTCCTGAGATTTCTTAGGGCAAAAAGCATCCTATTTGTGAGTCACTCAAATGCTGCTTTAGCATTTACTCTTCTTGACCAAATCTGCCAAAATAATTAGGCCTTCAGCTCCTCTTTACTGTATCACACGTTACAGCAGCTTGATGTAGGTCATGTCTGCCAAGTCCCAGCCCTTCATACTACCTCTAGCATGGGAATTTCTATTTAGCATACTTAATAACGGGTATTGTTACAGATGCTAAGGGATGACATTCTGATTCCTTCACTCCTCAGAGGATATTTTTTAACCATTATGTCTTTATTAACTGTTATTAACCTTGTATTACTCTGAGGAACCTCAGCCAATCAGAGACTCATAGGAGTGCATGTGCCGGGGATGCTCTTCAGTCATGCTTCCTCTTGTTGCCTGCTTCTAATATCTGCATGGTCTCTTAGTGACTGCAAACAGAGGTAATCCCTGCTCAGAGTCTGCACTTTTAAACAGAGGGAAATATAGAAGGGAAAACAGAGGCAGAGAAATTTGCTTGAAGTAAGGAGGAAGAAGCCCAGCCCCTGTTGTGTCACCATCTATTACCCTCTTCATTTTACTTCTCAGGCATTAATATCCCAGAGTGAAAAGGGTTCATTTAGGTCCTCAGCCTGAGACATACATCTCCAGGTTGTATTGGCCCTGTGTTTGCACGCAGCCACAGTTCCTTACATAAGTACAGCACAACACATACAAGTGTAAGCCTGTGTGATTTGTGTATATCAGAGAGTGAAACCAACCATATAAAGCAATTGGCAAGGGGTGGAAAAATAGACCATCTATATTTACTTGGCATATGCTTTTTCCAGCAAGGATGGCCAGAATTCGTTTGATGTTCGAGGGTGTACAGACAGGTAGCTCCCATTTAGGAAAGGCAGACGGTCATCTATCACCACATCCATCCAGTCTCCAAATTGCCAGAACTAAAAAAAAAAAAAAAAAAAAAAAAAAAAGAGAGAGAGAGAGAGAGAACAAAAAGTGAAAGAGAGAAAAGAACAAGCCTCTTTTGAGAGCTCGTATTTGTGCCAAGCAACAGCCTCCTGAAGCAGCACAGGAATTAATCTCAAGCATGGGTATTTGCAAGTCCTCTCCATGAACTACTGAAGGCTAACAGTCTAAGTTGTTAAACAAGCTACCAAGTGGCTGCATTTCCTAGTGGCAGTCATTTGGGAATATAACAGTCCTGCAATCAGTGGGAGGAAAGAGTATGGGAAATGCGCTAATATTGTTGGGTGATAGCAAACATTTCAGAGGATGAAGAACAATCACACCTCAGCTGCATTTGGATTTCCCCTGCCTCTATCAAGATTCAGTCTCTAGATTTTCTAGAACCTTTCTCTCTGTTTCGATTAAGACTGTTATATGTGTTATCATGGAAAGGGACAGTGTACTGACTAAAGACTGCTTTGAGGTGTTATCCATCTCCTTGATAGAAGAGGAAGATGCAGGCAGTCTCTCCACCATGTGGACAAAGCAGGTGTTCCCCCATGCTGATCCAGCTGATGGAACCTTCTAATGGAGAAGATATGGAAGAAGATCCATGGGGATGACCTCAAGGAGCCATTTCCAGAATCATTAGCAGATTAATGTAGCTTAGCACGATTCTCAATCATAAGAAGCCAAGCTCTTATCTGCAATAATGCAAAGGACTCCAGTGGGAGTGGGAGTAAGCTAGCAATAGATTTAGTCTACCATGTTTTTATTTTATCGGCTTTGGTCAGTGAAAAACCTCAAAATGAGCTGCTCTGTTAGAAAAGCACAAGACCAGATCTGGTCAGATTCCCCGTGTTTTAAGTTGATGCATTCTGCTATAATCCCCTGTAGTTCCTAAGAAACATTTCTGTTTTTTTCCCCAGACTGATCTGCTCCTTGCCCACTTCTCACTCACACATAACACACCCTACCTCAGAGGCATCAGAGTTTCTGTGGCAGAGAAAGTGATTCCTGCATAAACACAAGTCTAACTTAATTCTTGGTGAAATGATGTCACTGTAATTATTCCCTAGACAAAAAACATCACTCATCTTAACTGCTGCTGATAAAGTGCCTAACACCCTTAACTCCTGCAGCTGAGTGTTGTGTAGGAAGCCTGGAGCAGCCCTTTGTAATGCTGAGAGGTAATGTTCTCCAGATCCAGAAAGGAAAAAATTATAAGCTATAATTTTTATATTTGTATACAGTATGTCTTGTTTGAGATTCTTCTGAGGACTGGTAGCTTAGCCTGTGGATGGCAGTAAAATATCTTTGATGGAATAATTGAAAGACACTGCCGAGAAGGCATTTCCATTCCGAGTAGATTCCTCAAGGGTTTACTGCTTGAGGAAATCCAGAAACAGTGACATTGATTTGAAGGTGTGATGACATTTTCAAATATTGTAAAGTATTTATATTGCTTAAGAGTTAAGGATTGCTCACAACTAATCTTTTCAAAGCTCTCATGAAAGAAAATCTATCTTGTATTCTTTTAATGTGTTTTAAGCAGTCTGGTGTCCCTTCAGCTGGTTTGTCTCCTATAAAAGCACCCCTGCTTGCTAGAAATGGGTCAAGACAGAAATATCTGGCATTCTGAAGGGCAAAGGAACAGAGCAAAATTTAGACTGCCTGCAAGATAATCCTCCTGGTGCTGCTCCATGAGAGCTCCAGGAGGTCAAAGAAGTGCCAGTGCCAGAGCTCTCTGCATATAACAGATTGTGAAAAAAGGGTGATGATGAATGGCCAAGGAATATCCTGATTCTCTCTACCTCCAGTTTAGCTTCTGGAGGCAAGTGCTTTTAATCCTGTGAGATACTTGGCTGTCTCAGATACAAGAAACCAGGGCCTGACTGCTGGTATTCCAGTCACTCACACAGGAGATTCAGAGAATTTCAAGAGTTGGTAGACAGTGAAATTTACTAGAGATCTTGCTCCTCTCTTTGAATTAAATCTCCATTCATCTCATCTGTTTCCCAGGATTTGTAATTTCAAGTAAATACCACCAGCTAAAAGGGCAAACTGAAGTATATTGGAAAATAGAAAATGTCAAAATAGATAAAAACCACAGGTGCATTGACAGTCACAATAAAAAGTCGAAATCAAAGCAGACTTCAGAATGTCTTTCAAAACACGTATGTACACAGATCTGTTCAAACACCTGGTAGCTGTAGCTCTGGAGTTGGGTATAAGTCAAAATTTTCAGAAAAGGGCTTCAAATCCCCTGAAGTTTGATAGTACCACCTGGAGCATGAGGTTAGAAAACTTGGGGTTTTCTGAAAAATTCTGAATTGGCTCTCAGCACTGAAAAACCAAAGCATGTGAAGATGTCGAGATCTGGGACTGCAGTTTTGACCCCTATGTAATCCAACCAGCCAAACGCCAGCAGTACCAATACAGCAGAGAATACATACCCGGAAATGGAATATCCCAGCATAGTCACTCTGGAATCCTTGGTCCTTTGGTAAAACATTTTCCAAAAATCGCTTCTGCATTGTCAGGGATCCCAGGGCAGCCAGCACCCAGCAGTCACCTTAAGGGAGAGAAGAATCCAGTACATTCAGCCAGTTATTTACAGTTGTGGATCACAATTAACTCCTTAGAAGAGCAGACTTCAACATCTAAACATCCAAGAAACAGCTTGCTAAAAGAAAACAGCAATCTTCTGTCTTCCTTCTCTGCTCCCCAAAACAGTGAAACACCAACCAACATTCACCAGAAATGAACCCTGATGCAACTCTAGCCATCCTTTGCTACCTCTATAATCAGCTTTTGTGGTCGAGACCTGCAGTCTGGAAAGTGGTTTAGGAAATCTTCGAGCCTATCAGTTGGGGTGAGAAATGGGAAGACATTTATTTCAGTCTCGGAGCAGAGCTACTCACAAAGACAAATACGATTATAAGCTGGGAGAAAAAGATGGAACTGACAATGAGCTGCAGACACTTATCTTAGTGTCATAGAAGATGGAGAGAAATATCAATAGGGAAAAAAAAAAAAAAAAAAAAAAAGAACAACAACCACTGAGAATGACCATGTGGAGACATTAGGATGAAAAGAAAATGCAGTCCTACACATGTTGGAGCTGTGCCTACTTAGTAACTGTGTTTCACCTTTGTACTTGAAGCTTCTGCAAGTAACAGCTGCTACATTTGGGAATCCCATTAAATATCTCCAATAAATTGTGTGGGGATTTGTGGAGGTCTGGAGTGACCCACACTAATTATTTGTTTACTGCAGGCACCATGGTCCATGCCTTTCCACCAAGAACTCAGAACATAGCAAAGCAACCACGGGTTATTGGGATTGTGCCAATCTTTTCCTAAACAGGATCATAACCTTACCTATGAGTCCTTGAATAATATCAAATCTGCTAACTCCATCCATGATCAAACAGGGATTTCTTCGAAGTTCCTGGAAGAAAGAAAATGCTGAGAACAGTGTGGGTACTCAGTCTTTGCCAGCAGCATGTTCCCTTGCAGAGCCCCTCATTGGATTTTCACGTGAGCTTCTCTGATGCTACCAACACCTTTCAGAGGGCTCTGGCCTCAGCTGCCAAACCATGCAGTTTCTTGGGGGACAGTTACACAGAGCTTTTCCAGGCAGACTGGAGCAGGGACTGTACTTCAGCTCAGCATTGGATTTGTGCAAGTTTTATGCTCTGAGCTTTTCCACACAAGACTCATACGGATCTGCTGGGGCTGATTTTCATCACTTTCAGTATGGAAGAGTGCTTAATCTCGAGCTGCAAAATCCCACAGACCTGGCCAATTTATTTTTAATTCAGGGAGAATTTTCTTTGCATTCTTTGAGAGTCTTGTTTGGTCAGTGAAGGAGGAAACACTTCAGAGTTTGGTCTTGTGCACAGAAGTGTAAACCATCCTCCCATCTGCCTCTGCTATTAGTCTGGGATGTCTGAGTGCTTGGGTAGGATGTTCCTGAGCATCCCCCGTGATTACCCCTGGCACACTCCCAGTGAATAAGGCTCTGTTTTGAAAGAGCATTCAGCCTTAAATAAGAGAGTCACTGCACACCAAAGAAAATGAAGAGATAAGAGGAAAAAAAAAGCCTCTCACTGAGAAAATTAATACAGCAGCTCTTCCTTAAGCAGGCCCTGGCATTTCTTCTGCCCAATCAATTTGACATGCTGCACAAACATGAGACCAGCACAAAACAGGACTCACATGTTTGCATGAGATCACCATCAGCAAATGCTGTCAGTTTTCTGAAATGGCTTCACGGTGATCAAACCCTTCAAGAAATTTCCCCATCTGCAGAGAGTTCTACACAGTATTGTCTCTCCAGGCTGGCAGATGGATCATGCTCCCACTGCCTTGGTGACACCAGGGAAAATGGTCTGGGTAAGTGTCTTTTTTGATAGAATGGGGACATGCTGCTGTCACGCAGCCATCTACGCTTAGTTGAGGAGTTTGGGGATTTCCAAAAAGTGATTTATTTTGAATATTGTGCACTACTCTGGGTTCCACAATGTACAAAGATCTTTGAAAGTGTCCAGAGGAGGGCAACAAAGCCAGGTAAAGGGCTGGAAGTTATGTCCTATGAGGAGAGGCTGAGAACATTTGGGTTGTCTAGTTTGCAGAAAAGAAGGCTGAGAGGCAACCTCATTGCTCTCTCCCAGTTCCTGAGGAGAGGACATGGAGAAAGAGACACCAATCTCTTCTCCCTGCTAACAGGATGTGTGGGAACAGCACAAAGCTGCACCAGGGGACATTCAGAATGGATATAACAAAAAATTTCTTTATCATGCAGGTGGTCAAACAGTGGAACAGGTGTTCTAGTGAGGTGGCTGATGCCCCATGTCTGTCAGTTTTCAAGTGGCTTTTAGTTAGCCCTAAGGTTGTTAGGCTAGAAGATCTTTGTAGGTCTCTTCTGAATGAACTACCCTATCCTGTCCTGTCCTATCCATGTCAGGAGCTGCATTTTGGAAATCTGGGCATACCTAACTGGAAAGAAAGGGAGGAAAGGTAGTCTCCAAATATCTTTTTTTCCTTCCAAGGAAATACAGCATTTATAAAGCACCAGGAATTTTTGCCTGTTATCGCAAAACCTAGCTATGTGCCTAGCTACTATGCACATAGATGGGCAGCCTTTGAAATTGCATGAAAAATACAGAAACTACATATTTATAACTGTCCAGAAATATTGCTCTGTTTCTCTGAAAAAAAATATAATGAGGCCTTGTGGCGTTTTCCCCAAGACTCTTCCACTTTAGTGCTGTGTGATTTGGTATGCTATTTGTAGAGAAGAATTTTGTATAGAACATGCTTAGCACAAGTAGCTATCATTGCTGAAGTCTAAGGCCATAGGCTATTGAATTTTTACCCAGTTACAAGTAAGAAAGGCCACAGAGCCCGCTTGAACTGGAAGATAAGAAGGTAAAGAAGACTATATTGACAGACTCTGCAACCATCAGCAGATCCTACAGCCCCAAAGATAGGAGAAAACAGCTCATCTAGAGACAATGAAGGGAACCAATCTAGAGAAGAAAGACCTCCAACCCTAATATTACTATTGGTCCTGTCTCTTGAGTGAGGGGTTGGGAATGTACAGTGTAAGGGCATAATTGCATAGGGATTTCTTTGTTCGGGGTCTCTTGAACAGCTTGAGCTGTTGCTGTAACTTTAACTCTGCAGAAGTGGTGGTTTTTTTTTTTGTTGTTTGTTTTGTTTTTTGCTTATTACCATTGCATAAACCTAGAACTGAACCCTGTTATTGTGATTGACTCTTGCATAATTTCCATAACATTAGCTTGAGGGGGAAAAAGAGTGATCTCAAAGAGGCACGTGTTCTCTTCTCATAATATCTACTAGTCCAGCAATGAGGGCAACCATATGGGCTATAAATCAACTGCTCTGTCTGATCTCATTCCCCAGGAGAAACCTATCATCACTTGTTTTCCCTGGCCCAGTGAAGATTTCATTACATATTGCAGCGCTACAGGCTTGGGGCAGAGTGGCTGGAAAGCTGTGCAAAGGAAAAGGATCTGGGGGTGTTGGTTGATGCTCACCTGAACATGAGCTGGCAGTGTGCCCAGGTGGCCATGAAGGCCAACGGCATCCTGGCTGTGTCAGGAATAGTGTAGCCAGCAGGAGCAGGGAGGCGATTGTCCCCTGTACTCAGCTCTGGTGAGGCCGCATCTCGAGTGCTGTGTTCAGCTTTGGGCACCTCATTACAAGAAGAACATTGAGGCCCTGGAGCGTGTCCAGAGAAGGGCTACAAAGCTGGTGATGATCAGTGTAGATGTAGGGCACATGCAGATATATGCAAAGGACTCAGTCTTACATTTCTGTGGAAAATTGAAAGCCTGGGGTTGGATTTACTGAGTAGTGTAAGCCAGTCTGATTGCAGGCTGCTACACAGTATGGTGGTCTGGCCATGGACACATTTCCACCAGACTTCCCTCTGATCCAGCATAATAAATCTGAGGATTAAGAGGGAGAGGATGACTCTTTGCAGAACTGCCGCCCTACCAGATCAAGATCCTTTAACCCTGCAACAAATTCCCAATCCTGCTTCTGTTCCCACCAGCTCCTGCCACAGTACCACATCTTTCCTTTGTGCTGCTTCCCCTGTCCCAACCCCAGCTTCCTGACGCATCCTCACTGCACTGGCCAGGGTGTTCCCTCTTTAACAGCACGACAATTAAGAAAAATAAAAGTATCTGTTCTGTTTATCAGGGAGGAGGACAAGGAATAATGGCTTTAAATAAAAAGAGGGTAGATTTAGATTAGATATAAAGAAATTCCTTACTATGAGGGAGGTGAGGCACTGGAACAGGTTGCCCAGAGACGCTGTGGATGATAGGTTTTTCATTTCTTCCCTGTGCCATTTGGGCTAAATTTTTAGATTAACTCCAAATTGACATCTGTTTTTTGTTGTTGTTTTGTTTTATTTTTTCTTTTTTTCCCCTGAATAAAAGCTCTTGTTTTCACCCCTCCAGCTACAGACATGCCAAAACTGATGCAGTAGGAACTCCAGCTCAGCTTAGCTGTGTGGAAAGATCCTAACCCCAACACAATTTTTTATATGTCCCATTTTGGTTTTGTCAGTTTCTGTACTCAAATTTTCTTAACAATGAAGTTATTTCCTGGAAGTCTCTGGGAATTAAATGAAATGTCGATAAACAAAGCGTCATCAAAACAGTGCAGTATCATGATAAGTGCACTGTTCCTGGAAGAGGATTATTGCTCTGCAAAGGGCAGAAGAGAGGTAAAAATGTGACTTTTGCAAAGTGACTGGATCAAATAACAAATCACTTTGATAATTTAAAGAATTTAAGCAGTGAATCCAAGCAAACAAGCATTAGCTCAGACTGTATGACTTTCTCCAATATTGTTTAGATTTTTTAATTACAGTAGCACAGTTCCCTGAGTCTTTGCTAAAGGAACAAGGTATGACTCTTGCTGAAGTCCTTGTAAAAGACACTGTTCTTCCCTTCTCCTCACACCAGATATATGAGACATACTGAGAAGTCCTGTGCCCTGATGCTATGAAGAGATTGTGACGATGCAGAGGAAACTCACATTGGCTACTTCAGAAGTGCATGACCACCATATACATTACCACCAGATATGAAGACTCAAAACTCTGAACATAATTGGCAATTCTCTTGGCAACGCACAAGGTAAAATAGATGGAGCGTGTTGCTCAACTGCTATATTGGATCTGGAACAACAACAGCGATGTAATTGCTATCTGAAATTATATGCACTTAAATAACAAGATCCTATACGACTCTGAAGATGGAAGCTAAGAGATTAATAGGCTGAAGGTGCCATTTTTGTCACAGGTACATTCCCAGACACTTTTTTTTCCTGTCAGAAGGAGCCAATGGTAGAAGGTGAGAAAAATAGATGTGTGTTAAATTAGCCATGCTCTATAGGCAGGATACAACTACACTAACTCTCTGGGACACATATTCTGGTATGTCAAAGTTCCTTGGGGAAATTACAGGTATTTTTTTGCCTATCAGTTTAGGTAGTTTAAATACCTTGGATCATATTTCCTTACAGTTACCATCTCAGTAACTTAAGAGCAAAGAGGGCATGGACATTTGTGTATGTGCAAACAGTGTCTAACTGACACAATTCTGCAGTTTTAAAATTTAAAATTCTGCACTTTTATTCTTCACTCTGCAGCTTTCCCCCTTCTTCCTTGGGGAACAGCTCCTTGTGCTCGCCTCCCAGGACACACCAAGCTGAAACAGAGTTTAATTTACTTCTTTACTCTTGACTGAAGGCATCTGCAGCTCTGTCAATGAAAAGAAACCTATTTAGCAATTCTGCCACTGCTCCATTTTGCTGGCAGTTGGATGCTGGTCTGTGATGTCACTGTGATGCAGCATAGGCACCATGGTGACATTGGGGAAACTTCCACCACACTCCCTAGGCCACGGGTGGGTGCAGCTGCACTGCATCCCCCGGTTGGGCAGGACAGAGCCCAGTTGGTTGAGGAAATGGCTATGGACAAAAATTTCTGTCCAACTAGAAAAACAATTTCAATGGAGCCATCTTCAATGGAAACATCAAATGTTTCTGTTCAGAACAAGCCCATTGATTTGGCAGTCTCAGCATCTCCTCAAATATGTGATAAAAGAGCAGCTCATGATGCTGCCCTGGGAGCTATAAAAGAAGAAAACATGAAAAGTGTACATCTTAATTTTTCTGAGGAAAGCTCTGGCAAAGCCAATGACTTGTCACCCCAATCCTTTCTGAAAAAACTCTGGGAAATTGTTGGAAGTAATCGGTTTCAGTCCCTTTGGTGGGGTGACAATGGGAACTGCATAGTGATTGTGGAAAAACTCTTCAAAATGGAATTGCTGACAAGGAGAGGACCTCTGCAAACTTTTGAAATCGATAGCATGAAAACTTTCATTCGCCAGCTTCATCTTCATGGATTCTGCAAAATGCAATGGGATTTGACAAGATCTTCCTCATGTGATGAATTTCTAGCTGATAAAGGAGCAGTCTCTGCTTTTAGCAAGGTACGTTAGTCCCCCTACCTATGAAATACCTCTCAGAATGTGTTAGTGGGATTGATATCCAGCCAGTCCCAACTGAGGTGGCCTAAAGTTGGTCGTATTTGGGTTTCTAAACCAGTTTTTATGCTTTTGAAAATCTTACATTTCTCTGCTACACCCAAATGGCAAAAATGCAAAAGTGGTTATTGCTTAACAGAACCTGTGCCATACCATGTTAATCACATGGGGCACATTTAAAATGCCCCTGAGTGTCTTCAGTGTTTGTCTTTTGTGATTCTAATTCTTAGCTATCTTTGTCTTTCCCAGCCTTGAAATGGTGGTAACTAACTTTCCTCTTTTGCATTTTGTAGTTACTCTTCTACCATAACCCCTATTTCAAGAGAGACTATCCCCATCTGTTAAGACGATGCAAGCGAAGTAAAGTGTGAGTAAAGCTGAATTTTCACTGGAACTGGCTTTGAAGGAAGGCCACTTGAGAAGAAACTCACTGAAGACATGGTCAGGCCCTGCCTCAACAACGGTCAGTGCAAGGATGAATCCTCAGGCCCCATCCCTTTTTCCACAACACCACAGCCACACCCTGGTTGGCATCCAGGATGCTGCCCTGGGAGCATTCTGCTGAAACTGCTGCTTCTCCATACCACACTACACCCCACAAGATAGTGTTTTTCCACCAGGGCTGGGACCAGATAGCAGTATTGCAGGTGACAGGGTTGGACATCAACACTATACATACTAGAGGAAGTATATATGATAGGTACCAAGTGAATAGAGTGTAGTAGTTCTAGGAATAAACTGTCTGAATAAAAAATATTTTCTGGTTTCTGTTCTGTTTCTAGTTTCCTTTTCTTCAGTTTGACAGCTACTGTTCCTACACCCTGGGTATGGAGGTTGCCTTCAGGGAGACTGTTTTGCTCCAGCTCAGGGGAGACAAAGACCCCAGGCACTAGCACTGCACTCAGTAAACTCCAGCAAAACAGCCATGTGTGGCTAACCCAGTTGCTTTACCAGTAGCAATGGATACACAGCATTGCTATTCAGTGCAGTCTGATGATGGAACATCAGGTCCTAGGATAAGAAAGCTGGCTATGTATGTGATTATATGTCCCAAGTTAAACATTCATATGCCAGGTGAAGATGACATCACATCAGCCTGTTAAACCCGAACTGGAAAACAGCAAGCATCCTAGTTACTTTGAAATAATTATTGCTGCATCTGTGGCTTGGATTAGAGAAATCAGAGCTCTTTAATAGAATTTGAGAGCTTTTCAGATTTGCATAGTCATCTAGAAACAGAAAAAAGTGGGAACTCTAGCTTTAGTAAGGTTCACAGGCAAAAAAAAAAAAAAAATCTAAAAAAATCTTCCTACAATAATGTATCTAATGAAGTCATTAATGTTACAAATGCTAATCCAGAGAGGCAGATCTCTCTTTTACTGAGCCAGATATTGCATATTTCTAGCTTTGTAACATGGTCTCCATTAGAAGACTAGAAAACCCCTTCAAAAACAGACTGGAAGGACAATCTTGCAATTAGCATGGTGGCAGAGTGCATGGCATGTCAGATCTGCTCCTAGTACCTCTAGGTCTATGGGACAGATCCAGAGGCAGTGAATGTCCAAGACGCCTTCGCAGCAACATCCCCCTGAGAGATGAGTTTAGGCAGATGTGAGGGAAAGAAAATGCAAAGAAGGCTAGGTGAGAGTGTTAGAAGATTGAATATATATGTATACTTGCCTTGTCCAGAGTAGAACTGTAGCCAAAAATTGGCCCTGTAACTCTAGAGAACTGGCTGGCCCAAGATCTGACAGGCCAGTGGGCTGGCTGCCTCCTGTGGAAGTGTATCCTCACAGCCAACAAAGACCTGCACAGAGGTGTTGGCCATGGGTGAAGCCACGTGATCCTGTGATGGTGGAATGTCAGAATCCACACATTTAACAGAGCAAGAAAGAAAATCTCAACTTAACTGACTTAGGTCACTACTCAGTTAAAAGCAATTAAAATTGAGGAAGTTATTTGTTTCCAGAAGAGAGGCAAGTCCAGGAATTGAAGGGTCAGCTAGAGATGACAGAAGAACCTCAGCAGAAGAGTTGCTCTGCTCCCACCCACATGCTCTGGGCATGAATGGAACTTATGATCCCTTCTATGGGCTGCCTGCAAACTTCCATGCTTGTTCAGGTGTTTTACAGTGTCCTTCTCCTTGCTGCCCTGCCCTGCAAAGGGCAATTCACACTGGACATACAGAGGAAGATGCTGTAAAGAGGTTATCTTCCCTCCACACATCCCACACCAAGGTCCCCTTCTTTCAGTGTTGTGCTTCTAGTGCTTCCCTGCTTAGCAGAGACCTCTCCCCCTCACGGTGAAGGTCTCTACCCACTGGCCACCAGCACTCCCATTCAGCAGCAGTGCTGTGAAACACCCTGGCTAGCATAACTCACAGTTGGCCTCCTCCACTCTATTTGCTGCAGCTGGTCCTCTGGGAGCAGGCTGGCACCGATGGAGCTGATGTGAGCAGGGAAGGTGTCATCCTCAAACAGCCGGCCTTGGCTCAGACACAAGGCTCGCAGGTGGCTGAAGTCCTGATTATTAAATCTTTTGAGGTTCCGGAGGCTTCCTGTTGTCCCAGCTGTTTGCCAGCCTTCCTCCGACCTCAGAGCAGAGCTGGGATTGAGCATTGTGGACCTTTCCTACAAAGAAGAGACACAGATGACCATTAATTGCCCAGTCCAAAGTGGGGAGCATGTGGGAAAGCAAACCCTCGCCCAGGAGGATGCTGGAGCACACAAAGCTGAGGGCAGTCACAGTGACAAAACCCTTATTAGCTGGAAATGCCTGGGGAAAGAGGAGTAGTTAAATCCCAACTGGTTTATCTCAAATCAGTTCTGTCATCGCTATAGAATTGATTTTGAGTCTTCCCTGAGGACAGAAAGGACAAAGCTCTTACTGAGATGCTGTGTTAGCGATGAGGTATATCTGCAACTCAAGCAAGCACAAGCTGCAGGATGGAGCAGGAGCTTCAGACTCCTTCAGGCAGGCAGTGTGAGCAGGGAGTCTGGTCAGAAGTGTCCAGGACTCTTCTGGCCATGGATCATGGCTGGGCCCAGGGCATCTTTTGAGTTATTTATTTTATTTCATTTCAGCAGGAGTGCCTGATGGTCACTCCTTGTGAGAGACCTAAATAAGGCAGACACTTGCCTTTCCTCGGGATCTGTTCCGAACACCCCAGACAGATTGCTGGGATGGCTTTCTACCAGCTTCCACAGATACTTCATCAGACTCCCTAAAGCTACAATGCTGAGACAGGACTGAGCTGCAACATCCAGACCTTAATCCCACCTGCACTACACGCTCACAAAGCTGTGCTCCAAGGTCTGGGGTTAGTGGAATCGATAGGTCTTGTGTTTAAAGCTGTGACTTACAGTGTCCGAACTGAACTGCAGGTTCCTATTTAAACTGGGAAGTCATTTCATGGCATCCATTGATAATCCAGTCTGAAGTATGTTTAGATCCCTCCTTGTTAAGTGTGTACATTTAAGGTACATTTCATTTAGGAAGAATGAACATTTCACATATACAGTGAGTCTCCAGACCAGCCAGACTTGCTATTATATCTGCTAGTACAGCTACAAAAGAATCCAAGAGATAGCAACTCCACTGGGGACTCCTGCCATCCACGACCTGCTTGTGCTCCACAGGGAGGTAACACATCTTCCTCAGAGACCCTGGACTGCAGAGTGGGAGGGCTTTGGGGAGAGAGGCTTAGGGAGGTAGAAAGCTTGCACATTTGGAGGGGCAGCAGCACTGGAGCTTTAAAAGAGCAATTTTCTCTGTCTAACCAGCACAGAGGTTTTCAGGTGCTCTCCCCAGAGCCACACAGATGTACAGAGACACACATGTGCACCAGCTCCTGGGGAGCTTCCTTCAGTTAAAGAGCTCTGCTGTGGGTTTCGGAGTAGTAGTAGAGAGTTTGTTCACCCTGTGTCACAGAGGACATTTTTACACAGATCTGATGCATCAGCAATTTAAGATTTATTAATTCCTTTACAGTAAATCACAAATTAGATTGCATAATTTTGTCTTTAGTAGCACTTAAACATCAGTTAATCATTACCCTATTTAACAGAATAATTCAGTAGTGTTTGCTACAATCGAAACAGTGACTTTAAAGTTAAAGATTCATAAATGGCAAGGTTCACACACAAGACTTACAGCAAGGTATTAGCAGTTTCTATACAGCGAGCAATTGGGGATTTCTGTACAGCAGGGGATTAGGGATTTCTGTACAACAAGGTATTGTGGATTTCTGAACTCAGTTGTGCACTCCAGAACTTTTCTTCTCTTGGTGAATTACTCAGCCTCCTCTGTGTCAGTGTACTCAGTAGAAGATCATTGAATCTTAAGAAGCCAGGCCTCTAGTGAATGATTCTCTTTTCTCTGCGTTGGCTTATACAGTGGATGATTATTGAGCCTCGTGTAGTCTTGCCCTGAGAAGAGACCCACCTCAGGATGCGATTCTAGGTCACAGTCTGCTGTGGTCCTGGACACTTCAAAGGGGCTCTTTGGATCACAAAATGATTGGCTTTAGTTGGTATTTTTCCACCCTGGCCACAATTCAGGTTAGGTAATTCTGGTGTTTTCTACCAACTGCAGAACTCCACTACTTCCAAGATTGTTCAGTTCTGGTACCTTCTGGGTCAGGCTACAGTCCAGGTTTTCACCCTTCTCCTCCAGGTACTGCCATCACAAAACCAAAAAAGCAACTGTCATGAGACTTTCATCCCTTTTCTTCTGTAAAGAGAAGCCCCTGTTAAAGGCCTGTGCTAGCAGACTTTTAATATTGAGGAAGATCACTGCAGCCACCTTCTCCGACTTCTTGCATGACAGAAGCCACTGCACTTGATCCAGCAGTCCCTGCCACTAGCTCCTGGCTTACACTTAAGAAGTACCATCTCATCAATTAGCAATGGAAAATTCACAACATGCCCTGGGCAAACCACTCGCCTATTTCATTCACTTTCTGTGCAGATTGCTAGCCTGAGGTTGCTTGGTTTCAGTTTCAAGCCACTGCATACCATTGTTTTTTATTTTTTTTTATCTAGTAAAAAAAAAAAAAGATGTATATATTTATATAGATAGATATAGATATATATACACATACACACATAAAAGGGCTCTTTCCTACCAAACAAACGTATCTGCGGATCTGATATGTTGCTGGTCTGGTACAAAGAGAACAGAAGGCTCCAGTAAGAGCTAAGCCTCAGATTTCTGTTGCGAACACAGAGCAGCCACAATGAAGGCATGATACAGGCCCCTTGCCACACGCATAGTGTTATCACCCTCTTGGCCTTTCAAGTCACTTGGCCTTCTGGCACTGTAACAACAGCCTAGAACAAGGAGTTTTTGCATTTCTTTGTCTTAATTAAAAGCCCCACCAAAAAATCAGATGGAATTCAGAAATCACACTCCACCAAGATGAGAGCACGTTCCCCTTGGGCTTGCATTTTTTTTTTTACACATCGGAAATAAATCTCATGTAATGTACCATAACACAACAAAAGGATGGCTTCTTCTTAACAAATATTCATTTGAAACTGTGCTCAGGCCCCATGCATGCTAAAATATATTTCTTGCAGCAGTGTTCCAGCAAAACTGATTGCTAATTCTGAAACCCAAATTAAACTTAACAGAGCTTGAAGGCTGGGGCTGACATGTATTCCCTCTCTTCTGACAGACAACAAGAGCTTTTAGTGTGCTCGTGCACGTGTGTGCGCTTAATTACATTGTTTAACATATCCAGAATAATTTAGCAACCAGACTGAAGAAAATAATACACTTAACTACATTTTCCTTCCAGGCGTAACTTCATCAGCTTTGTGTACACATGTGCACAGATAATGGGAGCTCTGTCTCTTGACCGTGCTGTGTGACAGCCACTAGGGTCACCCACACCCAGCTAGCTCCGTGTTCCCTGTGCTCTGCCAGCCTCTTCTTTTGGAGCTCTGAGCCCTGGCCACAGATCGCTTCCACTTGTCTTTCACTGGTGCAAGAGCAACGGAGAAGAGCACGACAGTTTTTAAAGCAGAATATTGCCTATCTGGGTGGGGAACATCTTACAGGTGCTGAACTCTGAAGGAGAAAGGGAAAAAATAATGCAACAGGTCTCAGATGCAAAGCCCTTGGGCTGCTCCCTGCCATGAGACACGTGGAAAGAGGGAAGAATTTCAAAAAATCAGAAAAACTCATTCAGGCATACTGTAAAACACTGGAGGAAAGACAGAGAGAGACTGACTCTCAGCTAAGAAGGAAACTTTGTTCAGAAGGGGTTACACATACATTTACTTTGTCCTGAGACCTCTTCCAAAACTTAATACCTCTTTATCTGAATGAAGAAATGAATTGCACCCAACTTTGCTTCCAGTGTTCCTTTTTGGTCCCTCCCTTCCTTCTCAGCAGAGATCCTTCTTGTTACTTGTCCAAGAGCAGTGAATGACAAAGGATGAGGGAGGGAAGTGGAAAAACCACAGAGGGAAGGAGAAAAAGAGATGGGCTGTGACTACGAGAGGGAATAGGAAGGAAGAGGAAGTCTGAGTACTCCCTCAAGGTTGTTGACCCCTGCAGAAACTAACCTGGAAACCTGAAGCACCCACTATTTTGTGCATTAAACAAACTTAAAAGCCACTGGCAAAGGGGATGTATCATCTCTCTCCAGCACTTGGTTACAAAAGATGTCAAGCCACTGCTATAATCGGGTACTCAGTGGTGGCAAATGCTCCTGACAGCTAATTACATTTTGCAAAAAGCTTTATGTCATAGTACAGACATCATTTCCTTCAAAGGTTTCTGACATTTCTCACTGTGTAGGAAGTGTAAATAAGCAATTAGAAACGTGTCTACTTCATAGCAGAACTCTCTACCTTCTCCTCTCCTATTTTTTCAAAACATTTCTGATACATGTTGGTTCAGCTGGGTTTCATACTTCATACTTTTTCATACTTTGTGAATTCACAAACACTATGAAGAATCCCTGAAAAGCCAAAAGGCCAACAGCCCTTCTTCCCCTGTTCCCTCTCAAACGCTCCAAAACATCAATGTATATTTAACCTCACACACAATATTCAATACAACCTACTGTAATACAAGCTCTTTACCTTTAAGACCCTGTCACTCATGTATTTGGAGCATTGTAAAAACTTTGGGGAGTCAGCTCCAGAATGGTCTTACAGTGAAGGAAAGAGTGAATTTATTAGTTCTCACTGCACTCAGAGAAGAAACTAATGAGAGCATGAAGTTTCTCAGCACCTCACCATCAGTGACAGCAAACTGCAGAGACAGAGCAGGGACTTGAACCTGGATGTCCCAAATCCTCTGGCAGATGGTCCTTGTATATGTAGTGTTCAAAAGCCTTGAGCACTCCACAAAAATCAAGACCAAATACAGGAAAACCTTCTACAGATTGGTTTCCCAGTGGCATCTGATATGACTTTTTGCTCCAACTAGTCTATGAAGTACTCCTTTCTGGCTATTAAGTCATTTTTTTGCATACATAGCATAGGACACTCCCCATCAACTTGTTTCTTCCTCACGTAACAGCAGCATACAGAAATTATAGAGTCCCCCTCCTCTTAGGATCTCCACTCTCACCAGATCCAACTTCTTCCAACTTACCATTTTAATGTTAGGCTCATTGTAGGACAGCATATTCATCTTTTCTTTCCCTACATGTAACGTTAAGGGGACTGGTTTATTCTGTCTCCCCAAGACAAATCCCTCTGAGTGTTTCTGTGGTGCTTTTCCAGCATTATTCCTCGTATTTTGTCCGCTTTATAGTGTAATAAGTAAAACAGCAAAGTGATGTTTTACCTGCAATGCCTCCGGTAGAACTCTCCAGCCAAACCCAAGAGAGCTACAGATAGGCTGGTATTATCTGTGTGATCCTTTATAGGGCAAGCTTCACCCTGCCTTTAGCAAACATAATCAGGTTGAATTGGAGTTCAAGGTCAAAACCAGACAATAGGACTTGGGTGTAACAGTCTTACACCACAGTATCTGTATACACACACACTTCCATTAACCATGCAAGATGAATTCTATACCTCGCTAGACAGTTAAGTCTCCCCATGGCTTCTTGTGGTTTCAGATGCATTCTTAAGGGAAAACAGGATTTGTTTGCACCTCCCACACTTTCACACTACCTGCTGTCCCCCATACACCAGGAAATGCAGAAACGTTATCGGGCACTAGGCTGGCAGGACTCACAGAGACATGCTGTCAGAGCTGTGTGCCATTCTTTCTGCAGTAGTAAAAGAAGCATATGCTTCTAAGCCAATACCCATTAGCATTTACACTGGGCTCTTCTTCAAATATCATGTTCGTTTACTCACTTAGGTAGCTTGATTTATTTCCTCCATGACTGCCTGAGGAGGTAAGGGCATCTAAGGAATCTAAGTATATAATTAGAACATCTAGGGGACTGTCCTCCGTTTTGCCAAATTAAAGAATAATTAGCAATTATATGGGAAGGGGGGGGGTATATTTCATTTTGGGGAAGCCAAACTGAGATAGCCTAAAGAGGCCCAAAATCCAGCAGAACAGTGTGCAGCATATTCTCTGGGACATATCGGCTACAGCAATCCCATGCCTATTCCTACACCCCATAAACATATTTTTGAAGAAAAGGACGTTGGCGCCCTGGTGGACAGCAAGTTGAACATAAATCAGCAATGGGCCCTTGCAACAAAGAAGGCCAAGAGCATCCTAGGCTGCTAGAGCTGGAGCATAGCCCATGGGTCAAGGAAGGGGATCTTTCCCCTCTGCATAGCGCTTTTGTGACCACACCTGCAGTAATATGTCCAGTCTAGGGCTGCTCAATATCAGAGGGACCCTGAACGCACAGCAAGTCCAGCAGCTGCCCACCGCTCTGTGTAAATTTGCTAGGTAAATTAGAGTAAAACCCCCTCCAGAGAGTAAAACTGGTGCAGTTTCCCTTTGAGAGCTGCTTGCCACAATGGTTACATAAATAAAAGCTGATTGCACCAGAAGCAGGAAGCAAAGATTTTCCCGAATGCTAGTGTCGCTAGCTCATCTCCCAGCAAGCGTGCTGTTAATTGCCTCCTCTCTGGGGAAATGACAGGTATGTTCCCCTCCAGGTATGGTGATTTATTGTCTGGAACTGATGCCTCTGCTTAAATGGTGGATTAACATGATTTAAGAAATACTCATTGCAGAGTTGATTAGAAAGCACCATCAGCAGCCTGGCAGGGGATTTAAGTTGCTGCAGCATGGCACTATTTGGGGCTTGTCAGCTTCGCTGCATACGGCCATGTGATGTGTCCATTTTCACAGTGGTTCCAGAGAAGGAAACACAGAAGGCACAGGGATTTTATGTATAACTATGAGCCTTTGGATTATATGCTCTCCTACGTGTGTGTGGAAGCCTGCAGGAAACTATGGGGATTTAACAAAGCACAAGGCTTTGGGAGAGCAGGGCTGGTTTTTGTTTGTGTTACCCTGTGATATTTTGGCAGGTGCAACACTGCCCTGACTTCAGGTTTGTTTTTACAGAGCAGGGATAGCAACCCAGCGGAGGGTGGCTGTGCAGCTCAACCTACTCAGAAGCAAAAGTTGTTGAGGGATCACTGGAAACAGAAAACTGCTTCTACACAGCCAGTTACTTCCCCAAGGCTGCTAAACACACAAATGAAGAAGGTCCTTTATGCTTAGGAGGGGTGGCTGCTCTGCACTTGCCCCTCCGGTCTAAGGTGCACTTGCACCAAAGGGCAAGTACCAAGAGGTGCTATTCAACACGTGCTTTCTGTGAAGCTAGCACAGCTTGCAATTCTCAGGTTTCACCACGCAGTTTCATGTACATGGGGATTTAATGAGTTGTTATCCCTTTCCGACCTAGAATAAACTATATAAAATGTGACCTTCTTTTCAAAGAGATTTCACACCGAATATGTTTAACTTCCACCCCGTCACCCAGCTGTGCTGAGGGCAGGCTGCTGTTCTGCATAGCCAGCAGCCACCCTCAAGCAGTCTGGGTTTTGTCATCTTTCCCAGGGGGAAAGAACAGCATAACTTTGCCCAGCTAATCCTGGAAGCTTCGGCATGAAGAAAAGCAACTCTCCTCACACCACCCACAGGGCTTATGTGCTGAAGTATTGACTGTTGTCTTCTGCAACGTTTCAGATGTATGTCTTCTGATTTCCACTACTGTTACCCTTATGAAGATCACGTTCATTTTTAACAGAGATAGTGCTAATTTACACTATGGTAAATAAAATCAGGCTGTAAATTTTTCCAAGGTAGAAAACACAACCACCTTTTATGTTAAAACAACAAAAAAAAAGGAATCTTCTTTCAATCACCTTCACATTTGTTGCAGTCACTTTGATTGGGTGTCCCACCGCTTTTGTATTATGGGACTAATGGAAGAACACTACCAATTATTTGCTCCTGTTAGCTATGATGCAGGGAAAAAAAAGAAGTATACAATCTAGTTTGCTCTGTGTTTATGCACTCCAATTTCTGGCAGGATATGCCATTCGAAAACACAAACTTATGACCATAAAACTTATCAGGCAGATAGCAAAGACCTACTTCTCTACCTGCTTTTACCCAGCCCTCATTCACAAGCTTCCCCTTAACACAAATTAACCAGGAGTTCAGTATTTTCCTCATATTCAGATATGCATCATTTTGCTCCTAAATGAAGTACAACTGCTGTTGAAAGTGAAATGTGGTAGCTGCTTAACAGCACATAACGACTCCGCACAGCTAAATAGCACTGCCATTTGAGGGAGGGGGGATTTGGTGTGGATAATACTTCCCCATGAAGCCATATTTTTAGGACAAAAATTCATTGACTTCAGAAGTACAGTAGGGATCCTTAAAGAATAAAAATGAAAATAAAGAACAAGCAGACTGCTATCAACGCTCGTATTAGCTCTAGAATTGGTTAGAAATCTCCCAGTGGAATGTTTTTCCTTCAGAAAATGTCAATCTGTCAAACATGAAAGCCACTAGCAATGAATTTTCACCACCATGAAGAGACAATACATTTTCAATAATGCCACCAGGCTCCATTTTGATTCTGGAATGGTCTCATCTTTTGCTTATGGGAAAAAAATCATTACTTCAGGAACCTGTCTGTATTATCCAAAAGATTTAACATATGGCAGCGTAAGAAAGTTTCTAAATGTTATTGCAATAGCTCACTACATTCAGCCTGACAGTATTTTTCAGAATGTGCTTTCATGAGAAATTGCAGACATTGTTTTTCATTTGAACGAGGAGCAGAATAAGAAAGCCTTCTGAACGTACTGAACCTCCACAGAACTGAAAGCCTGATTTGGCCCCACAGCAGCTAGCACTGAAACTCCCCATAAAACTCTCTTGGCCCTTCTTGTCAGTGATACCTAAACATGTCTCAAACAGAGCTGTTGTGACATCCTTACAAGCGATACAGATACCCATTCACCTGGTCATAGATCTGCTGTTGTGCTTTACCACACTTTGATACAAACTGCTCAGTAAAATAAGTGCACTTTTGCTCTCCTCACTGTTGTGTCCCTTGTGTACCTCTTCAAAAATTGGTACTAACAATCATTAGTTTCTGTGAAACAGCAGGAATGCTGTTAGAGCCAGACCTCTGTAGAGGAACACAAAAATGAAGTTCTTTGCCCTTGTTGGGCAGTTCTGCATACCGCCCTTTTTACAGCCCTGTTGGTCTGAGATAACACAATCCATGCTTTTCTATTTTTACTTGGGTGTGGACAGACAGCAACAGTTTCACATTTCTTTGTTTTTCAGAAATATTTCTGCCATCCTCTAATGAAGAATCCTTGGTCTGCAGATCTTCCACAGACAGTTTACTAGAAACATACGCAGTTCACCATCTTTACTTAAAGTCTTTGCTAACTAGACGTATGTATCTCACAGCACAACTCTTTCTTCCTTGATATCCTGCCATTTGTAGCATGCTAACAAGGATGTGCAGTCAGTATTCCAGACAGGCACCTTGCTATTCACCTTTCCTCCTTGCTCCCGTAAGAAATCTTACACCTGGAGATAGGAAAGGCAGCAATTTGAGGTGAAACAGAGAGCTGTCCCTGTATTGAGCATACCATCCAAATCAGAGCTAGGGGAGGAGAGGGATCTGAAGCTAACGGGGGCAAGCCCTGCTACTGTCACAGTGGAATTAAGACCATGTGGTGACTGGAAGTCAGACATACAGCATGCCTTATTTTGAAGAAGCCCTTGTGCAGCAGCAAGCATGTTGTGTGCTGATGGTGTTAGACATTGCTCAAATGTATTTCTTCTGTTAAAGGAGAGAAAAGGAGAAATGGAATTAATTTCTCAGACCAACACTCATCATTGGAAACGTAAGAGTTATTGAAATAAATGGCAATCAGCTGGTTTTAATGACCATGGGTTCATTTTTTCTTGATCTTACGCAACTGACCTTGTCTGAAGCCATAACTGCCCCTCAAACACGTACCTGCAACATACCTAGCAGCTTAAAAATAGACTGTTTTGAAAGAATATGAAGAACATGCCAAGACACAGAAACCTGCTAGTAATGTCTGAAAAAAAAAAAAAAAAAAAAAAAAAAAAAAAGCATTCTTGGCATCTAAGAATGCTTTTGGCCACAAAGAGAGCCATTTTATGGCCTTTTTTAAATAAAAGAAAAAACAATCAGCACTTGCCAGCGTCAGAGGGTTGGGCAGTCTAAAAAAAAGAGAAAGCAAACATTACAGCCAGAATACAGTCATAGTTTCTCATAACACTGAAGCCAGGTATCTCTGTTTACTGATCTGACCAAGAGTAAGTAGAAAACAAGGTACCAGCTATAA